TCACTCACTCACTCACTCAACTGGTCCTTGAGAACATTTATAAGACTAATAAGCATTAGTAACCAATATGGACCACAGCTATATCATACATCTGAAACAAAACAGCAGCAGACCCTCACAAAACCCAAACATCACTACCAGGTAATTGGTGGAATTTCTCCCACTCTGCTATCATTTTGTGATATAACAGAGCAATATAGAATCATCCAATATGTCAAATGGATAACAACAGCTATTCCTCACATATAATGATAGCACAAAGGAGTGTTCCAAATCTGTGACCGTCTGACTGCCTGCCGCTATGCCATAGAGTCAATATTCCCCACTGTCCAACACAGTGACTTCCTCAAGCAAATCTATAAGAGCCTCGGAGGGTTTTTTACCTAAGTAGAAAACAATACTGGACCAGCTGGGCATGGCCCACTGTTGACAATTGCAGCTTTCAAATCATCAGTAATCGGATCATTTAAGATTATCCCACTCAATAAAGAATAAGACCACTTCTCTTGCGACCATACATACTACCTAGCAATTAATTAGGACTATATCAATATCTACAATATCAAGTTTTATACAATGGCTTTACTGAGTGGATAATAGCTATTGATTATCTAGAACAGGTCCTGGCTGCAAGTAAGATTTCTTGGTCATCAAACAAAGGCTCTTCAGTTTGAATCAAAGTATTGTTTTGTAATTTAAATTAAGTTAAAGAGCAAGGAAAAAATAGTCATGTTGCACATGAAATTTTTTTTTAATATATATGTTGCAATACAAACTGCAATATAAGAGTTGCGATTTACAGTAAACTACGGTTACAGCGAACTCAAAGGGACTACTAATATTAGTTTGCTATAAGCATATGTACAGCATAACTACAGCAAACAGTCGGGACCCAAAAAGTAAGATCGTTATATCTGTCAGATCGTTATAAGCGTGTTCGTTATAACCGTAGTTTACTATAATATGAATATGGAAATATGATACACACTGCAACATAAGAGTTGCAATTTGACATAAATGTTCAAATATGATACACACTGCAACACACATGATATCAGAGTTGCAATATAATATAAATTTTGAAATATGATGCAACTGCAATAGCAGAGTTACACTATAATATAAATGTTACAATATGCTACATCTGGAAACATACAGGTTGTTGTTACAGTTAGATGAAGGTGCTTTCTTAAACTCTCTTTCCTCTGCAGCAAGCAAAATCAAAGGTGTGTGAGAGAATGTTGTTTTGTGCCACAGTCAGCAGACACAAACAGCAAAGTGACAGTGTCTCTATACATCCAAATCCAGATACATATATCATCATGATCATAAAAAAACACTGAAACGTAGCCTGGGGGGTCTGTGGGACTATATGATTTATGCCTTCATTGTAATGGCATATACATGTATAGCTAAAGTGACCCTTGATGTAACAAAACTCTGTGGAATTCCGGGGATCCACACAAAATTCTCAACCCTGATCATGATGATTAGATCAGCAAATGATACATCAACCTCTGTCATATCCAACATGATATGCAACATGAAAAAAAAAATATTGCAATTTCTTCTCCGTTGTCTTTCAATAAATTAGACATTTCGATGGAGAATGAATTCTTACAAGAAACTGATGAAGTAATAACAGCTAGTTTTTGTATGATTTTTTTGTTTTTCAAATATCAGTAAATGCACAGAAGATATATTGATTGATTTCTAACAATTGAATAATACATAAATTGAATTATTACATCTTCAAGAAAATCTGATTTCACAAGAAAGATTGATCAATTCCTTTACACACAAAGAAAGAGAGACATCAAACACACTTTCAAATCACTTTTACTGATTTTTTTAATTATCAGATGCAAAATTCTTTGTTTCAAATCTCATCAGTCCATGAGTTGTGATGGACCCAACTGGAGTGGAAGCAATCAAAACCTGCTAATTATTGAGCCAACCTGGCACTGTGAGAGGCAGTCTGACACAGACAGCAGGCATGGCGCTGAAGCCATGAGTCATAACCCCACTCACAGACCTAGGGTGACTCAAACACCAGCGATCAGTCAATAGAGTAGCCACAGAGAGGGAAACCTGGAGGAGTGGTCTCCCTTGGTTAGTTCAGCACTGGCTTGGATATTTTATTCATAGACACTGTTGATAAAATATGTCATGGTACAATTACTGCTGGAGCGTGTACAGATGTGGTGAATTCATACTAACACCAGAAATATCAGTTGCTTTATGTTTTTCAAACAATTAGAGCAGATTATCATGATTATGGAGCAGACACATAGCCACACGAATGAAAGCCGCAGGCATGAGAAGCCTAGAAGATTTACCTCCCTTGGATTAGTCAAGACACGGTGTCTCTTGAGGTGAGATGAAATGGGGTTTAACGTCGCGTCCAAGATTATTGCACTTATATAGCGACGTGCATGCACGTGTGTGTGTGTGTTTGTGTGTGGCTGCTTGTACTAATCCTGACTGATGCCGATTTATAGTGCTAGCTCACTGAGATACCATGCCGCAGTTTAACATGAATACCCCACTCAGACAGAGTATACTGACTCTGAGCCAACCAGTCCTTGTTTTAGCCCCTTAATGCCGAGCGCCAGACAGGGTAACAACAAGTACCATCTTTTAACGTCCAGATCGAACCCGGGCCTTCCGCTCTCCGGGTGGACGCTCTACCACTAGACCACGGAGGCGGTCCCGCTGTCTCTTGAGATACATACAGCGGATACAGAGTGATGGTGCTGTTGTTTGTGGTTCACAGTTGTACTAGTTATGACAATTGAGACAAAAAATAAGCAACAAGTAACAAATAACAATTAACCTGCTGACAATAGGACTGGTGACACTGACTTATGTACAAGCTTAGTCAATCATGAAACCTTTCTAGTTATCATGTGATGGTGGTAGGCAAACACATCTACTCAAGGCAAGGGAGTTAGCGGACTATAATTTATTTTAATGTGACGTTTAAACGCTTTTCAGCTTTACCATTGGACAAGTGGTCGGTCACATGAACATGATACTGATGTTTGTAAGTGTATGAATGACATAATCTGACCGTATTCTGGAAATGATGTAAACACTAACAGACTACTTCCACATGTTTGGGGGACCCCCTGGGAATTCCCTACCACAAATACATATAGAAGCATTGTTTCTGATCATTTTTACCCTATATTCTTGAACTCAGCATTTTTATGATTATACTCACTACAACCCGACCAAGTAAACAAGAAGAAGAAATGCACATCCAAACTATCATAGTATTGATTTGATCTGTGTCTGGATTGACAATGACAGTCTACAGCAATCTATGAATTTACCAAGGTATCTATTTGGCACATCTTTACAATAACCTTTCAATGATCAGCCAAATTGATCAATGATGACCAACACAGGTTCATTCAAAACTTCAGAAATCTCTCCTGTAATGTTTCAAGGGGGGGTTCAACTCAGGGAAGAAGAATTTTTGTTTTTCCCTCCCAAACGAAAGGCATCATCATGAGTATGTAACACCAGGAATACCATGTCAACAAATCCGTACTGAAGTACACAGTGTAATTGTAAGCAAGGATTATATCCTACCTAAATATTATCCCAGGGGAAGTTTTACTCTAGAGTATAGTATCCTACCTTAGTGCCACACTGGTATGGGTTCAAATTCACTAGGGAGAATCATCCTGACACTAGAGAATTTCATCCCCAGGATAAAAAATAGGGTAGGATAATATTCACTCTTACATAATCATTTAATTGCAATGTCTGGTTATTAAAAGTGTTCATTGTATATCTGGACTTATATTTTAATTGCAAATGTCGGGATAGTGTATGATGTGGTGATGTGCTTCATTCCGGATCGCATTGTAGACAGCGTTTATAATTAGCATCAATTTTTAAGGCTTTTAGAGGGAAGTCGCCTTGGAGGCAGTTGCTTTATAGACATCAACATACGGTATATAACTTTTTCTGAGATAGATCATTCACCTTCTTTACAGCCTTGCATAAAAACATTATTGACATGATTAATAGTATTTAACTGTATTTCAATTATTTTAACCACATGTGGATAAGGCAGTTAATAACATTCACCATACTATTTATTAACATATTTACAATGGGTAACACGCAGCAACATTCTTCTGAGGATGTCACACAGTGTTACTACTCCCTAACTACTGTGCGGTAAGTAATTTGTGGCATGTTCTCAAATGTGAATTAATTCCCTTGTAATATAATACATGATGCCACATCTTTGATGACTCAACTTTGAGTCTCGACTTCACTGCTTGATAAAGGCAATAGACTTATATTATAGTGTTAGAACACTCCTAGACATGACAGTTCCAACTGCACAGAGATTGTAGAATAATACCAGCAGACATCCTTAAAAAAATCACTTTTTTTCTTATTTTAAACAAAACACAATTTTAGATTTGTATCAGTGTTTGAAAATGTACACTAATTTTTCTCACAGTGAAAGTAGGAAGCTCATGGTAAGTGTAAAAATGTCATGCGGTTATGAGGCCTTCGTTTTCCGAGCTAAACAGGCCTGAGTTATCCCCCTTAGATTATGACGTAATTGGTCCGGTCTGAAGAAGTTCCTTTGACCCTTCAAGAAATCACAAAACCATATGCTTTTGAACCAAAACCAGCAAGGTTTGTGGTATGGAAACGATGAAAATCAAGTGGAAACAAGAGAAGACCCACATCACCTGATGTGTCACCCGACCCGACCCCAACTCAACATCTACACAGGCATACCAGTGACAACGTGGTAAGAATAACACTTTGATGTGTGTATACCTAAATTACACATATGCTCATTATTACGTTTTCAGAAGCGGAAACAAAATATTCTAAGAGATTTTAATGCTAAGCAACAGCAACACCTTAGTGCCTGTTCTAAGCTGAAATATAAGTTGAGGAAGCAGAATACATGGCATACTTCAGACATGTGGGGTGGATGCGGGCAGATGGTTTCCTACCTGTTCATGGGGGTTAAGTCTTTGTTCTTCAAAGCAGAAACACTGCAACAAGAAAATCATCATGATACCTACAACGCTTGCCAGTAAAAACTAAACCTTTCACACCTACAACGCTTGCAAGTAAAAACTAAACCTTTCACATCTAAAACACTCACCAGTAAACACTAAACCTTTCACACCTAAATCACTCACCAGTAAAAACTAAACATTTCACACCTAAAACACTCACCAGTAAACACTGAACCTTTCACACCTAAAACACTCACCAGTAAACACTAAACCGTTCACACCTAAATCACTCACCAGTAAAAACTAAACATTTCACACCTAAAACACTCACCAGTAAACACTGAACCTTTCACACCTAAAACACTCACCAGTAAAAACTAAACCTTTCACACGTACAACACTCACCTGTAGAAACTAAACCTTTCACACGTACAACACTCACCTGTAGAAACTAAACCTTTCACACCTGAAACACTCACCAGTAAAAACTAAACCTTTCACAGTAAAAACTGAACCTTTCACAACTGTACATATGAAATCTAATGTTTGAGTCACAGATCAGCACATGAATCTTGTGCAGCACACGAGGCTGGCCAGTGATCAGACGTACCATATTCGCCATATTAACCACCCTGCTTCATAAAGCGCCTCCCAAATAATTCTTGACCATTCTGACCCGTAAAGATTCAGGGTAGAATAGGTCTTCAGCAAGGTCATAAAATTGCCTACTAATCATTATCGAAAAAGTTTTAGCTTCACCGATGTTTGAACTTAGTTTGTTCAAGTTTACAGTCCAAGCAGGGATTGCTTGAGAATTCCTAAGCTTCAAAGGTAATAAAGGGGGCACAGGTGGCCCAGTCGTCTAAGGCGCCGCGATTCGCTGTGCAGAGTTGCGTCCCTTGGGCACACCAGAAACCTATGATTGTGGGTTTGAATCCCGTTTCGCTACGATTATGCTTCTAGGTTTGTCAGCACCATACCCGTGCTCGTGGGTTTCACTGAAGTGGTAAACGTCTGAGACCTGCATCACTTCGGGCTTTCCTCCCACATTAAGCTGACAAGCCGCGATATAACTGGAATACTGCTAAAAGCGGCGTTAAACCCAACACACTCACTCACTCACTCAAAGGTAATAATGCCTTCTATGGATTTATCTGCATTGCCTTGCAGGTAACACTACAAATTCCTTTTACAATTATCCAAGGATATCCTTGCAAAATAAAAAAAATTGCATTGACGGTTATACGGTATATACAGTTGATGAATGTCATTGTATCCCAATTGCGTACTTCGATGCTTATGATGTCAAATACTGGATTGTCTGGTCCAGACTCGATTATTTACAGACCGCCGTCATACAGCTGGAATATTGCTGAGTGCGGTGTTAAACAACAAACAAACAAAACATATTCAGCAACATTTTGAATTACAGTAGATCCAATGGAACTGAATATAGATTATTAATTTGTATTGCTTACTTATTTATATTTTTTCAGAAACATAGTTGTGCTGTTTCTTTCACAGTTACCTGAATCTTATTAAAATATTGCCCAGCTTCAAATGGTACCACATTGTAGGTTGATATCCCTATGATTGGCTTTTCTGTGGGATTCTTTGCTGTGTAGAAGGCCAAAGCTGTTTCACCTGGAGCAACCTGTATAAAAAAATAGAAAATTGAATTACACTTAAAATTGTGTATTGTGTAATTAAAACAGTCAGTAATGAGAGTGATTTGTGTTTTAAGACAACAAATGAAAATCTGGGCACCTACGTACCAAACAACATCAACTCCACCACAATCTTCATTCAAAGTTATTGCATTTGAAGATAGCCTGAGAAAGCTGAATTAGGAGGTATTTAATTTTGTATGTTGGTGCAAAACAAATATGAAATAGTACAAACAATGTGTTTCCACAGATTTGGGGGGGCCCGTGAAGACGCCGGGGTAGAATAGGTCTTCAGCAACCCATACTTGCCGTAAAAGGTGACTATGCTTGTCGTAAAAAGCGACTAACGGGATCGGGTGGTTAGGCTCGCTGACTTGGTTGATGCATGTCATCGATCCCAATTGCGTTGATCGATGCTCATGATATTAATCACTGGATTGTCTGGTCCAGACTTGATTATTTACAGACCGCCTTCATACAGCTGGAATATTGCTGAGTGCGGCGTTAAACAACAATCCAACAACCAACCAACTCAGATGACCCAGCTGTCTGAGGCTATTTAACACACAATAAAGAGTTGCTTCCCTTAGCCAAGTCTGGATCTGTATATCATGAGCTCCAAGACAATACACCCTGACCATGACCCCGATTGTCAGTACATTGTTTAATGGTTTCAACTTGTGTCACTTTGCAAATAAACTGATGTCAATGGTGCACAATTTCTCAGGTCAAGATACAATATGAATAATGTCACTTTGATCATAATACATTTCTTCTGGTTAAATTGAATAATATTGACACGATAAAGAATGATAAAGGCGGATTTCTGTTCCATGTAATTATTTTAAAGTCAAGTATTCACATCATATAATATGATGAAAAGAAAACTATAATTCATTAAGATATATGCTGTTTATCACACCAGTTTGAAATACCACCATGATCGACAATGTGTTGAAATAACATTGCTGTTGGCCTCTTGGCAAAAAAGGAAAATAATAGAACAATTGGCATGAACTAGCCAATCAGCATGATGCAAAATTAAAATGCTCAATGAGAATTACCGTATTCGACATAATAAGCGCCAAGGGCGCTCTCAAAGTTAGAAATAGGGGGCTCTTATTAGAATATTATTTTGGTGAAAAACAACAGAGTTGAAAGATCGTAAATTTCGTGATTTATGCTAACAGCCTGAAATGTTTATATACGACAGATATATTTTTTCCAGAATTTAATTTCCCATAATTATGAATGCATATAACATGCGTATTATACACGAATAAATAAGTCCTGTGTACATTGATCAATCGGAAGGGGTGCTAATTGGGATTGTACGCTAGCCAATATATTAGAAAATATCGCAGTGGGCGCTTATTAGAGCGGGGCGCTTATTACGTCGAATACGGTATGTAAAGTAACTCCACCGTTATCTGTGCACCTATTGGTATTAGATCTCTAATCAGTAAATAACTAATGTGATGCCATCTGAAATTCTGGTACAACTATGATTTTTCCCCACATTTCCCAGTTACTCACCTTGACCTCTGTCTGCTGTGGTTTGAAGTTCCATCTCATGCTAGAGGCCACATCTGCATTGAAACGTACTCTGATTATCCGCTCCTTTACAGGCGTCATGGATTCGACCTTGCTTGTGTCATGACCTTGCACCGCCTGACCTCCAAGACCTGTTGCCTGAAATGAAACAAAAACACAATCATACTCTTCATGTTTTTAATACCGACCCACAGAGTTGTTTTTCCTCTCACATCACTCCAACCTACTTAAATCAGCAAAGATATTTTTTCCATATTAAAACCTTGCTCAACCATTTTGCAAAGACACATGAATTTTTTAGACAATACAATTCACTGCTGAACACTGTTGACATCCTGGTGTGAGAATCATTCTGATTCAAACATGTTAAATGTCCTTTGTACTAATCATGTTGTTGTCACCATTATTCCAGCTAAATCACAACAGCCTGTAAATAATTGAATCTAAAACCAGACAAACCAGTGACTGATATTACGATCGATGCCATCAGGACATGCTGACTTGCAATCAACCAAGTCAACAAGCTTGGCCAACCAATCCATTTGGTTGCCTTGTACAAGAAGTATAGGGACAGTTTGCTTGGATTTCTTCTGTTGATAATTATTATTTTGTGGTGTGTACTAACTACTGTCGTAATCCAACAATCTGCAACAACCCTGCATCAATGGATATCTCATTTAAAATACTGAGACTGCAACAAACCACAGACAAATTTGTTCATATGGTCTTACTTTAGGGGTTCTCTCATACTAGCTCTGCAGTACCTCATACTTGACACTTGGGCAGACAAAACTGAAACTTGATACATCATGTAAATAGCTGTCAACCAATGGTTTGCCTGGCCCAGATCTAGCCATGACTGCGAGATCTTGGTAAAACAACAAACACCATGAACAACATGAACTCAGTTTTTCATGAAACTAGGTTTGTTAGTTTGTTCCAGGTCATGACCTTGACCCCTTCATGTTTCAACAACTTTCAATTTTATTACAACAGATTAACTAAACATATATTATCCATCAAACAACTACTCATGATGATATTAATTACTTGCACAGCTTTGCTTGGCACGACCAGAAATATATTCATGATTCATATTGACATACTGTTACCAAAATAACAAAAAAATGTATTTGTCTTATAAACAATTATCTTGCCTTATAAGATGAAAAATTATAATAATTACCATATTAAGTTACCGTGGGGATTCCGTGTACAATTGGTCTCCAGCAAGCTATGCAGGTCGCAAAAGGCAACCAAATGAATTGGGTGGTCACGCCCAGTGACTTGGTTGATGGTGTGTCCTCGAACCACAATGGAAAGTACCGTTGCTCACAATATCGCTCACTAGTTTGTCTGGTCCAAACTTGATTATTTACCATGTTTACATCTGGAATATTGCTGAGAGAGGCTTTTAACAACAAACAAACAAAACCATTACGTTACACACACTACTCACCTGACAAAACATCCTGTATAGAGGTACACCAGCATAACTCATCCCCAGCATGAAGATACCAACAGCACAAATGTAAATCAATGTAGATCTAAGGTTGAGTCGTTCTTCAGGATCTCTCCCCTGGCTGATTTGACGGACAAAACTTGGTGGAACTCTCAAATGCAGACCCTTCCTAAATACATCAGACCTTGAACACATCAAAGTTCTGACACACAAGAGATCCACCGGAGGTAATTTTCGCAAGATATTCTTGGACAATACTAGTGCACATTTTGGTGTGGAGTTTGATTGGCTTGGTAGATTTTTCATCAATCTTTGTGAAGATATACATCTTCTTTGAAACAAAACTCTTACAGATTGGTTGATGATGTTGCGAAAGCCAAATAAGTGGGATTGATGAAGTCTTCCGAGAAATAAGGATGAGGCCATGTTTTTAACCAATATCTGAAAAAGAGAGTATGAACTGGAGGTAATGACACATGAAGACTACAATTCTGGAGGCTACGGTGACCCGTATGAATGATGGCTACAGCACTAGCAAGGTGGGATTGTTGTTCCTACTACATATGACTGGCAGGAGCGGTCCAGGTTATTTATGCATCACTGTGACATAGAAGAAATGTTACTACGACTGAAGACTGCAGATGATTATCACAAGGGGTGTCACAATTCATCATGTTCATCGATGTACCAATGCATCACTAATTTACACAACACACAATAAATACATCCATTGTTATAAATCTGTTACAGGTTTAAAAACAACAACATTTTCACAAAGTTTTGTAATAACTATGAAAACTTGATCTGATAACTATGAGGTATCAAAAGTTTCATGACATTATGTATTTTGCACTCTGGCTGAGCTTGAAAAATCAGCATCTGACTTCAGTAGAATGCCATGAACTGTAGCAATGTATCAGCAACCAGTGGAAGTCAGATAGTAAAGTGCAGCAATACACAGCTACGTTTACGCAGCTAATGTGACACCCCTAACTATCATGCCAATGACATATGAAGCTGCTTTTGCCAATATGGTGCTGTTTCATACGGCAAGTTTGGTGTCAGAAAGAAACATTTAGGTTTATTTCATGAAAAGTAAAAACAAATAGAACCAGATCTAGCTTTTGGCCTATCTACAAAAAAAAACAAGATAAAATTAATTAAATTTGTACAAGTTAAAATCTGATATTGACATGAAGATAAATCCTCTTTATGAAATATGACCATGAATTATGAGCCTCACCACTGCGTACAAATAAGTTCATTAACCTGCTATATGTACCGGTAATAGTTTTGATTCATCACATAAGCATGTTTCAAAACATGGTAAGCGGTTTGTTACATATTGTCATTACATGACAGGGATGATCACTCATTCTAAAAAATCAGGTTGTTTTTACAATGCAACATGGATGCTGTCAATACAGAAAACTTACGAAAAAAAACCCAGAAGATTATAAGTCAATGACACCTCTCAAAACTTCTATGTTATCGTATGGGCGCAGCCATATTGTTTACCAAAGAGTGAAACGTAGTCGTAATATAGAACACTCCGTCAAGCTGCTAACTTGACATGTTAATTTCTGTTTGTGATATTTCTGACACCACTGTCAATGACACAGTGTAACCTAACTTTGGTCTAATCATTGAAATTATCCACATCTCATTGGATTATCAACGATTTAACGACTATCGCTGAACGTGCGTTTTCCAGATTGACAGCTGACGTCGCACGTGGGAAACAAAACTATTTTCTATACTCAAAGAACAAACATACATATTTTTCTTTATCTGTACAAGCAACTTCCGAAGAGCAATATGGGTATCCTAGAGAAGATATCAGAAATTGAGAAGGAAATTGCACGCACTCAGAAAAACAAAGGTATCTGGAATCGCATGCTTACTGTTCAGTTTTCGATCATATTAATGTATGTGGATATGCATTTATTATCTTCAAATAGCAGACATAGAACGAAAATACGCTCTAAATTGAAGCTGACATGTATATTACATTTTATATGTGGATCAAGTGATGTAAAGCCGTGGTCCAGAATTTCCCCACATTGACATTTCCTTACGGACAATTCCCCACTCAAAGACATTTCTCCCCACCCCACTTTTTGTTGTTGTAAGAATTAAAAGGGGAAGTTTGGTAGGAAACTCAGGATATCTTTTCCAAAGTTTTTTGTGCAAACATTTACAACTAATTATGAGAGGTTATTTGAAATGAATATAGACTGCCATGTTGTCTGACTGTATATGTTATAGTTACAGTCTAGGTGTAAAATGACTGAAATTTTCACTTAGGCAATTTACAAACGACAAAATATTTCAGTCATTTTACAGTTATTTTTCCTTTTGTTATGTTATGATAAGAAATTCCAACCTTCTTATGTTCTATTTCATCACCCAGTTACTTAAAATGATAGGATTCAAAGAAAATGTTTTTTGGCTTCTAATCCCAGCCCAGTCTTTTGTGATGTGTTTAAGCCCTTTTAAACTTCTTAATAACTTTTTAGTTAATCTTACTGGAAAATAATTTTAAAATGACCGAATTGTTTGAAAATAATTTCAGTCATTTTGCACATTGACTGAAACATATATAGGAATTGTCATCTTAACAATCACCAGGTGTGACCATGTAGACAGGATATCATTTGGGTTTGCGATATTGACAGTTGCCTAATGGGCATACTGAGTGTTGGTGCTACCAAACGTAACAGTTTATTATTATCATGTATTATGATTTGAATCCTTTATTTCTCTGTGGGTGATGATTTCACACTAAAAAGGGGGGCACTCAACCAGTGCATACATGTAAAAGATCAGACTTGGTAAGAATCCGTTTCGACAACTTCCAACTTCCGTCACTTTATAGTGAACTTGAGTGATGATGAATTTAATATTCATATTTTTATAGTTTGTCAAATTGTAAATATAACTGTAAAATAAATTGTGTATCTATTCAATGTGGGGAAAAGTCCATGTGGGGAAATGTTAGTGTGGGGAATTGTCCATGTGGAGAAATGTCCTACAATCTTTAAAGCGACATGACAAGGATTATCAATACTTGAACAGTCTGTGGCAAAAACATTTAAGCCTACTAGCCCAAATGAGTTATTTGATAGGCATTTCTTAGAAGTTAGTTCCTGTACTTGTAGTTTGGCAATAATTCCTGTTGCCTTTAATCTCAGCATAGGGACTAGAATATGCTGATCTATACTAGACCGAGGTTTCAGACTAGTGACTAAAGTCTTAGACTGCTTAAATAGCTCTGAAACTTAGTTCTTTCACTTTATTGATTTTGATTTTGACTGCCTACGCTACAGTCTGGCATACACAGCTGGCATACACATGATACATGGAGTCTTTTAACTACCAGGAATCAATTCATCCAGCTTGCATAATACTAGTGAAATCATGACAGAAAGTGAGAAGACAGTTTTAGTATTTAGATATTTATTCAATTTTAAACTTATCCTATGTCACACTATGCATTTCTTATTCGATCCTATGTGGAAACGTGCTTGAACAAAGTTTCCAGGATCAAAAAACAATTCACCCGAACACATCCCAGCATCACCATGGTCACCACCCAAACAAATGGGTCACGCACTATAAACCCATGCAGAGCAACCTACACGACCTGATCACGTGATAACCCCTGCCACAACATTATCTTTCTCATCACCACATGGTGGAGACGTGTATTAAAATAAGAGAAAACATATTTTATTTTCATGAAGTCTATCCGCTATCGTGTCTAAGTTATGTCAGTAATTTGAGAGAAAATCGGAACTGACCATTTAATCGCCCAGAAATTTTCGAACCATGATTATCATGTTATCTCTTGCGTTTGTCCCGGCTGCGGCACACAGGACAAGAGAGGTTCTTCTTATTCCCATTTCAGGGGCGGTCGGGTAGCCTAGTGGTTAAAGCGTTCGCTCATCACGCCGACGTTCCGGGTTGGATTCCCGACATGGGTACAATGTGTGAAGCCCATTTCTGGTGTCCCCCGCCGTGATATTGCAGGAATATTGCTAAAAGCGGCGTAAAACCATACTCACTCACTCACACACTCTTATTCCCATTTCAGATAGTTCTGAAGCTTTTTAATTTTTTTGTTTTGGGGAAGACCGGCTATCAAAGTCTCGAGACACAGCAAATGGCCATTCCGCTGCTAAGAAGTCCAAGACCAAACCGGCTGTCCCCCTCCACCGATCCAGTCGTAAATCTCCTACGGCTTGTACTGTACCCTCGTTATCGGTGGACAGAGACGGAGTCTTCAACAGCTCCCTCACAGTCTCCAGTGCGTCCATATGAACGCCTACATTGGTGCAACCAGCAGCCTCTGACGTTTGCATGGTTCTCTCCAAAGTCGTTTTGTCCACGCCAGCCTCAACAGTGTTGATCGCCGACCCGACTAGCACTACCAGATCGTTACCTGCAAGTTTATGTCATACCCAGCTCCTTCGTCTCAAGACACACTCACTCTCATTTGAAGATGACGTTTACGTCTGCGTGCTGAATTGATTTTCCGAGTTTGTCCACTACTGCAGATGGGATTAGACAAAGCCAGGATCGTGCCCGCGTTCGCACTCTTGATTTTGACTAGGATCACTGTTCTTCATCCAAAAATCGTCATTCCTAGGATTGGACGTGTCAGGACGATTGCTACACAGATTCGGCTTATCTGTTGGTATCGCTCCCCTTCGACCAGTTATTCGGATGCACCATCTGCAGTCACTCCTAGTACGGGTTCGTCCGCCCCTTCAGTTCAACATACAGTTGCTTTTTCCTGCTCCTCGTCTACTTCTCGACAATCCAGATCACCAATGTGGCGTTCCACAGATCGTATGTCCCAGGATCGCTGCACAGGCTTGTTGAACTCTGCTCTCAATCACTCCTCACAAGAGTCCCCATTCACAGGATTGGCCTCCCCATGTTCAACGATGTCCAGATAAGGATTTAAAGGTTTGGCTGTTGACAAATAAGAGCTCCTCGGAAACAAAATGTTTGCTAAAGGATCAAGGATCGGCATTTGAGGTATGGCAATCTCAGTATTGGCAATTCTCTTCAGCTTGACAAACCTCCAAGGATCGGAATTCTTCCCCTGATCAACGCACCTCCAAGGTTCGACATACCCAGGGTTCTACTCTCCCATTTTCTCATGCCAAAGGACCGTCTCAAGATTCGGCTCTTCCACATGGTGTACCAAGAAGAGTGAGTGAGTATGGTTTTGTGCAGCTTTTAGCAATATTCCAACATTATGAAGGCAGTGTTCCCAGAAGAACATTCCTTCCATCAGGAGCACAGCCATTTCCTTCAGTGTATTTCCAAAGCCACCACTGCCAATGCCAGATGCTCCTGTTTGGAATTTCTTCAGTCCTTTGGCTATTTACCTGCTCCAGTGAGCTCATCTTTTCCATCTTTGCAGAATCATGTTCGAATTCTACGTCGTGACTGCATTCAGGTCTACCCTCCACCATTCTTCTTCAACTTTTGGAGTTCACACAACATCTTTCACGCCACCTCGATTGGCTTGTCAACATCAGCAAGTCTGAGACTACTTCCGTCTGGGCAAGTTGTTTGTCCCTCTGGATCGATGGTTATGGTAATGGCAAGAGATTCTTGGCCTTTTGATGTCGGCGCACACCCTCACTTTGTGGGGTTAATGTCATCACCAGTCGCTTTAATATTTCCTCACACCCTTCATCCAGAGCGGGGGCGGTCGGGTAGCCTAGTGGTTAAAGCGTTCGCTCGTCACGCCGAAGACCCGGGTTCGATTCCCGACATGGGTGCAACGTGTGAAGCCAAATTTCTGGTGTCCCCCGCCGTGATATTGTTGGAATATTGCTAAAAGCGGCGTAAAACCATACTCACTCACTCATCCAGAGCAAAGATTGCCGGACACTGATCTCCTTACTGATCCATTTGTACCAGTGGTGGCTAGTAGCATCAAATTTTGCATCAGAAGCTCTTTGAAGTTGTTCATTCTGACCTTCCACCTATTCATAGTGGTGTCAACTGTGGGCTGGGGAGCACATTTTCAAGATCTACAAGTAGTGGGGCATTGGTCCGACGACGAGCGTTGTCTCATTTGTCAGAGCTCCCCCATTCCTCTCACTTCATGATCCAGTCGAGCTTTTTCGACTTCGGCAAGTTGATTGACTCCTTCCACATCCAGGTTGGTCATGCCTCTTTCTGGGATCTCCTACAGATGCTTCTCCACAACAGATCACCATTTATGTCCATCATTTACGATTTACGCAGAAACACATGGGATGTCCATTAGCCACTTATCTAGTTGCAATAACGGCATGTACCTGCTCCTGGTCTCTCGCATTTGTTAAAAGAAGAAATGCATAGTGTGAGATAGGATAAGTATATAAATATACAATTTATTGGAAAATTTCCTCTTTCATAAAGTACATCAGTACCGAGGTAAGGTATTCAAATCGTACACAGTTTTTTGACATGCATTGTAGAATGATGTGACACCATGATGCCTTGTTTACTTCCAGCCACTGAGTACCATCTTGGTCTGCTGAAGGCCAAACTTGCCAAATACAGACAGCAGCTGTTGGAGCCGCAAGGGAAGGCTGGAGCTAAGGTAGACCGTGGGAAGTGTCTTGTCACCATGGTCACATGACACTGCAAGGGGGGGGGAGATAAAATTGAACGGACATTTAATCATAACTTGTGAAAAGAACTAAAAAATTGCAATGCTGAATTTCAATTAGAATTTTTTTATTTATTTATTTTTTTTAATATTTGAAATTCTACTAGGAATGTTTGGATCCACCATGTTAACATTCCTATACTACAACATTTTAAATTTTCAAAGTTAAAAACCACTTTTGAATGATGTGCTAACACAATTCACAATATGTTACTTTTGTGTTTGAGTACCGGTATGTATTATGTTATAATGTCCAGCTGATTTCATAGGGGGCCATAGTCTTCATACCATCTCATTCTGGAGTGAGCAGGTTTCACTGTGCACTGCATGTTGATACATGATGGTGCACCTGTACACAGCAGACGTTATTTAAAATAATCTTTGCGATTTTAGTTTCAACAAAACGGTGAATGTACTATAGTGTCACTGGATTGTCTGGTCCATCAGTTGTTTATCTGGTTGGTTTACAGGGCGCCGTCGCATGGCAGGAGTACTGCTATGCGGTGTCAAGCAATAAGCAAACACTTACCAGTACTTTTTTATGCAAACTGTCTTGTGTTGAGGGTGCTACCTGTAATGTAGGACATGCTACCATTTTTGTGAGCATCACTGATTTTCAGTGGTCCATTCCAATAATTTTCACCCCTTGTTTGCCCTTCGTGCAATAAGATCTGTTTTGGCAGACAATCGAGACAAGTTATTCTTTGGCAGTGTCATGGCCCGATGCTTTAAATAGTCACGCCTTGGGAATGTATGCATGCAGGTATAACTTGTGAATCTTGGTGTGAATGCTTTTTTCTCACCATAAAGGATTAACTTTTGTATGATATGTGATAAGTGCTGCTGAAGTAATCTGTACCATCAGTCCTGTCAGTTGTGCGTGTGATGTAGACATGACAGATGTTGTCCATTGCAGGGAGAAGGCTTCGATGTGATGAAATCTGGGGATGCCCGTGTGGCACTTATAGGTTTTCCATCTGTGGGCAAGGTTTGTTTATATTCTGTCTATTTTAAAGATAGAGATAGATGCATGGTTTTCTTGAATGTTCTTATTATCAAGGTTATGGCTTTATCCATAGCTACGATTGTGTTAGAAGCAGCAGTAAACCTCATCACTCTGCAACATGTTGATTGTAATCAGTTAATCATGATTCAGATAACTTGACTATTTTACATTACAATACAATGAAATCTTCTCTCTCTTCACCTTTTGATAACTTGTAAAGCATCTTTAATGAAGAGGGGCGGTCAGGTAGCCTAGTGGTTAAAGCGTTCGCTCCTCACGCCGAAGACCCGGGTTCTATTCCCGACATGGGTACAATGTGTGAAGCCCATTTCTGGTGTCCACCCGCCGTGATATTGCTGGAATATTGCTAAAAGCAGCGTAAAACCTCACCCACTCACACTTTAATGATGATTTATGAAGATTATGACATGTGTTTTCAGTCCACCCTGCTGAATACCCTGACCTCCACCCACAGCGAATCTGCCAACTATGAGTTCACAACTCTCACCTGCATCCCCGGTGTAATAGAGGTAACTGTTCATTCCACTGGTCACTCTCATTTTTGTATTTGAGCTGTTGTTTATCTTCGCCATAGTTCGTACATAGAGCCTTTGACAACAACAACCATGTCTACATAGGTATCCAGCAGGAAGACCAATTGCCAGCTGTGACATTGTACCCTATAGTGTCTGCCACAGGGCACTACTATCAACCACTGGTGTGTCTGGTTCAAACCGTATTATGTTACTGGTGGCATATTAATCCCAATGGCATATGAACCCATTTGTCAACACACAATGCTTACTCCCCTCCTTCTCTCATTCCCTCCTTTCTCCGACCCGTAAAGATTCCGGGGTGGAATAGGTCTTCAGGAACCCATACTTGCTGTAAAAGGTGACTATGCTTGTCGTAAAAGGCGACTAACGGGATCGGGTGGTCAGGCTAGCTGACTTGGTTGATGCATGTCATCACTCCCAATTGCATGGATTGATGTTCATGACATAATCACTGGATTGTTTGATCCAGACTCGATTATTTACAGACCCCCGTCATATAGCTGGAATATTGCTGAGTGCAGCATTAAACAACAAACCAACCAACCAACTTCCCCTCCCTTCTTCTCTCTCTCTTTGCCTCCCCTGCATTACCTCCATGCTCATCACTTGCTCTACTTCTTTTCATGTTTTAGTACAATGGCGCCAACATTCAGCTGCTTGATCTGCCTGGGATCATAGAGGGTGCTGCACAAGGTTGGTGAATTGTTCTGTTGCTTGTCCCCAACATCTTGTAAACATGAACTAACATGGTCGCTCTCAGTCAATTATTCCATCAGGTTTTCAGGCTATGTTTTGTCTCAAAAGAATTGAAGATTAATTTATTCTTCTCATTTGGCCCTGTATTGCAGTAGATCAACATTAATGTCCATCACTGCTTTGATTTTTGTGAACACCTGGTGTCATCACTGATTTTCAGTCATCCTTTTTTTAATATTCACTGCTATTTTGCATTTACGCCCAATGGAATCTGTTTCAGCAGAAAATCAAGACTGATATTCTCTGACAATAACATTTTTAGGTATATGTTATATCACATCAGGATGTGCTTTGCTTAGATTACTGATCTTCCCAATGACTATTTGTTGTCAGGCAAGGGTCGAGGTCGGCAGGTCATTGCCGTGGCCCGGACGGCTGATCTCGTGGTCATGATGTTGGATGCAACAAAGAGGGAGTACCAGAGGTGAGGACAAATACAAATCAGACTTGAAAAAGTGAACAAATCAATGTACCCTTTGTATACTACTCAAAAAGGTTAAGGATCACCTGATTCTTACATAGCATGACAGATTAACATAGTAATATGTAAGAATTGAGTGGCTCTTCACTTCTTTTGAGTAGTATATATCATTACAAGTCTCAGAAGAATGCAAGTTGACAATATTTTTTATGAGGGTACAGGTGGCCATGGGTTTCAGGCATGGCAATTTCCCTGTGCAGAGTTGTGTCCCCTTACCATACTAGGTGCTGCTGTTCGTTGGTTAAAGATCCCTAGTTTGCCCTGATTATAATACCAATATGTCAGCGCCATAGCCATGCTCATGGCTTTTACAAATAAAACCTGTGTGGTCTCCAGGCAAGAATATAGATCCCCCACCTTTTCAGCAACCTATGTTTGTCATTAGAGGCAACTAAACTGATGGGATGGTCAGACTCAGTGACTTGGTTGATATGCAAGCCTTTTCTTGTATCCCAAATGCGTGGATCGATTCTCATGTCAGTCAGTGAATTGTCTGGTCCAGACTTGAATATTTACAGACTGCCATTATTTGTATATATTGCTGAGTGCGGCGTTTAACAGCACACACACCCAAAGTGGTAAACTTATATGACCTGGATCACTTTTGCTTTCCTTCCACATTTTTAGCTGTAATATTGCTGAACTCTGTTCAAAGCAGCATGAAACCCAACACACTCACTCACACTACTTTCCTGTAGGTATTATTTACAAGGCAGGTCAATATTTCTTTTTAAAAAAAATAAATTATATGGACATATTGATATGATAATGAAACTTCAGTTCTGAAAACTGAAATTCTGAATGACCATCACATTCTTGAACATTTCATTTATATTTCTTTCCAGAGAACTTTTGGAAAAAGAATTGGAGAGTGTTGGTATTCGATTAAACAAAGGCAAACCCAATATATATTTTAAGGTAAGCAACACAATATTATGTTATCGAGTTAATCAGTGCGATGGGGTAGCCTAGTGGTCAAAGCGTTTGTTCATCAAATCAAAGGCTGGAGTTCAAGTCCCCACATGGATACAATGTGTTCAATCCCATTATGGTGTTCCCCGCCATGATATTGCTGGAATTTTGGTAAAAAATTTGAAAAGAAAACGAATTGCCTTTGTAACACATTTTTTAATGTACTTTTTCCAATGGAGATTCCAGGGTAAGAATAGGCCTCAAGCAACCCATGCTGGTCATAAAAAACGACTTAATGAATCGGGTGGTAAGGCTTGTTGACTTCGTTGATTGTGTGTCATTGTACTCCAAAGGCATGGTTTATTACTCATAATATCAATCACTGGAATGTCTGGTCCAGACTCCATTATTCCTAAACTGCCATAATATGGTTGGAATATAGCTTTGTGTGACATTTTTCGTTCATTTACTTATATGAATAGACAAAGCCTTTGAGAAGTTCAAATGTCACATTTTATATTTAGGATTACTCTTTCTTAGTGAAGTACAAATTCAAGTACTTTTCTGGTCGGATCTCATCCAGGATTTATTCCCACACTCGCAGATTGAGGCGCCTTATTCCCAGCACACAGTCAGATACCTAACCCGCTCAGCTACTGAGGCTTCCACAAAATGGAAGTCTGACAACTGGTAGTCTGGATCAGGTACCTTGTGTACCTCTGTGATACGTGTAAATTGGCACGGCTTCCATGGCCAAACCTATGAATAAACAGTGCCCTTTTTTGTTACTTATACCGTACTTAAGCATGATTAGAATTGTTATGTAATTTCAGCCAAAGAAAGGCGGTGGAATGTCCTTCAACTCGATGGTGACTATGACCAAGTGTAATGAAAGGCTGGTTTCCATGATTCTTCATGAATACAGTATCCTTGCCGCCATGTTGGCGCCACTGTCAAGAGCAGCTTTTAACCAGACTCACTCACTCTCTAACTCTTGGTTGGACAGTACCATATCCATGCTTGTGGGATAGTAGTTCATACCTGCATCACTTAGGGCTTTCCTTCCACAATAAACTGCTATGTTGTGAAATAAATCACTCTCTCATTCATTAATAAACCCATGAAGATTCGGGGTAAAATAGATCTTCAGTAACCCCTGCTTGCCGTAAAAGGCGACTAGGCTTGTCGTAAAAGGCGACTAACGGGATCGGGTGGTCAGGCTCGCTGACTTGGTTGATGCATGTCATCGATCCCAATTGCGTGGATCGATGCTCATGATATCAATCACTGGATTGTCTTGTCCAGACTCGATTATTTACAGACCGCCGTCATATACATGTAGCTGGAATATTGCTGAGTGCAAACAAACAAACAAAAAAATCATTCATTAATACCTGATCATTGTTTCAAACTTTCCTCCCACATTAAGTAGACTAACCGTGATATACCTGAAATACCATCCTACTTTTGTAAACCCCAACTGACACATTTGTTGTGTAGTGGATAGAATGCCTGTTGATACCTTAATAGTGTAACAGAAATATTTAACTGTGAAGTCCTGTTCCGGGATGACTGTACATCAGACGAGTTTGTGGACGTCATCCTGGGCAACCGAGTCTACCTGCCATGTTTATATGTAAGTTGTTCCACTTTACGAAAGACTAAACATAAATAATAGGATCATGATAATGATGTCTTATGTAATAGCACTCAATTTCCAGCAGATCTGACCCATGAAGATCGGGGGGTAGAATAGGTCTTCAGCAACCCATGCTTTGTGTAAAAAGTGACTATGCTTATCAAAAGAAGCGACTAATGGGAATGGGTGGTCAGGCTCCCTGACTTGGTAGATGCATGTCATTGTATCCTAATTGATGCTCATGATGTCAATGACTGGTTTGCCTTGTCGAGATTTGATTATTTACAGACCACCGTCATATAGCTGGAATATTGCTGAGAGTGGCGTTAAACAAACAAACAAACAAACAAAACAAACCAAAAAAACAGCAGATCTGAATTGAATCCAATCTCATTAAAATCAGATCTTTTACACCAAAACAGTACCTTACTGCATGTAGATTTGAGAACACCTCCATAGAAGGTTGCATCATTTGAACTGCCCAAACCTAATCAAGGGATGGATGGGTTCTTGCGCCAATCAGATATCAGATTTCTAAAACTATTGGCTCCATTTCTGAAATTTCGATCTTAGCAAAAGTAAAATGACACAGATTACAAAAATAACCTCGATAGCACACCTGTTATGTTGTAGATGCCATTGTGCCCAGACACCACAAGATACCAAAACAATATAATCACATGGCTATGTTATTGTCTGCTTGTCAGTAAACTTTGCTCACTTAAACTGTGAAATTAAAAGCCTGGACACTGATTTGTTGATTAGAAAGTGCACCTTACAGGACCCCCAACGGAGGTGTCCTCAATCTTCACACTGTGGGGGCACCGGTTTCCCAGTCGTCTAAGGCGTCGCGATTCTCTGTGCAGAGTTGCGTTCCTTGGGCATGCCAGAAACGTATGATTGTGGGTTCGAATCCCGGTTCGCCCTGATTATGTTTCTAGGTTTGTCAGCACCATACCCATGCTCGTGGGTTTCACTGAAGTGGTAAACGTCTGAGACCTGCATCACTTCGGGCTTTCCTCCCACATTAAGCTGACACTCCGTGATATAACTGGAATACCGTTAAAAGCGGCGTTAAACCCAACTCACTCACTCACTCACTCACTCACTCACATCTTCACACACAGAGGTATCCAATCAGATTGAAAGATGAGGTTTTAATGATGAGAACTCGTTTTTGTTGATAGTGTTGTCATAGAGAGTACAATCAGATCTGCAGAACGAAGAATTAACTTAAATGTTTAAGATAGACTAGAGTTATACAAATGTATTAGCAGGTTGAAGATATACCAGGTTGTTTTTTAACCATTGTGTGCTCCCCTCTGCCAGGTGTACAACAAGATCGATCAGATCTCTATAGAAGAGGTGGACAGGCTGGCCAGGCAGCCCAACTCCCTCGTGATGAGGTGAGTTCGGACATTGAGTAGCAAGTTTTTAGTTTCATTTTACCATTGGATTCTTTGAAGATTCTTTAACTGATTCAACTATGTATGGTTAATTGTGTACTTGTGTTCTACATGTTATCTCATCTCAATTGTCATTGTATCCAAATTGCGTGGATCGATGCTCATGATGTCAGTCACTGGATTGTCTGGTGTTCTTTACCACCCGCCCTCATATAGTTGGAATGTTGCTGATTGTGATGTACAATAACGTCAAATCAATACGTTGTATAATAGGACCCAGGATTTGCCATTGTTTTAATTTCCAGAAATGAAGTCATGATAGAACAATGTTTCTTCCTAAATTAAACCATGCTTTGTTCTTCATTGTTCCTTGCGATTTATCGCATAACTATTGCATTTATGTTGATACGTTGGTACAGAAATGTCCAATTTGTGAAATGTAGTTATGAAACTGGTCTGTTATTTTGTACACAGCTGTAACATGAAGCTGAACTTGGACTACCTGCTGGAAATGACATGGTTTTACCTGGCTCTCATCAGGGTCTATACAAAGAAGAGGGGAGGTAAGTCTGGTTGTAAACCTAGCTCTCATCAGGGTCTATACAAAAAAGAGGGGAGGTAAGTCTGGGTGTAGTTATACCTGGCTCTCATCAGGGTCTATACAAAGAAGAGGGGAGGTAAATCTGGGTGTAGTTATACCTGGCTCTCATCAGGGTCTATACAAAGAAGAGGGGAGGTAAATCTGGGTGAAGTTATACCGGGCTCTCATCAGGGTCTATACAAAGAAGAGGGGAGGTAAATCTGGGTGTAGTTATGCCGGGCTCTCATCAGGGCCTATACAAGGAAGAGGGGAGGTAAGTCTGTGTGAAGTTATACCGGGCTCTCATCAGGGTCTATACAAGGAAGAGGGGAGGTAAGTCTGTGTGTAAACCTAGCTCTCGTCAGGGTCGACACAAGGAAGAGGGGAGGTAAGTCTGGGTTTAGTTATACCTGGCTCTCATCAGGGTCTATACAAAGATGAGGGGAGGTAAGTCTGGGCCAACATTTGTAAATAATTTGTAAATAATTATTTTCAAATAGCCAACAGATAGGCCCACAAGTAGTAAAATGTCATGGTACATTGATATGCCTAGCTACATGTAGTCTATATCTGTTTAAGTACTGTCTTTGCCCATAAAAGCTCACACTCAGTTATGTGTTTTCAGAAAAACCTGACTTCGATGGTGGACTGGTTTTACGTAGAGGTTGCTCAGTAGAACATGTGGTGAGAAAAACTTACTGTGTAACTGTACTTGTTGTCGGCCAAGGGATTGTGGGCTAGAATTGGTCCCCAGCAACTGCTTGTTGTAAGAGGCGACTTAATTAAAGGATGGGGTGGGGGGTAGCAGTCTCTGCATCAAACTCCAATGGCATGTCATGTTGCATACACCTGTTTGTCTTGTCTGAACTCCATTATTTTAGGCTGCCATAATATAGCTGGAATATTGCTTATTGCCGCATTAAACAAACAAACTTCCCTTTAGGCCAGTTCGGTTAATTTGTGCATTGTCTGTCAATATTGTCAGTTTTGTCCACTTTCCTGGTAAGTGACTACCCTCAACGTTGTTCAAACTCTGGTAGTACAATTCATGTGATCCTTTGTCCTTACTTATTATTTCAAAACTAATATTGTGACAAATGGGGTGTAAGGCATGTATTCACTCAATATTTATACAAGATTTATTATTATTATTATAAAAGTATAATATGTTGTCAGGAAGTACTTTTCAGAATTGGTGTAGGAGGCACGGGTGATCCTGTTATCTGAGGCACCACAATTTGTTGTGCAGAGTTGTGTCCCTTGGACATGCCATAAACCCAACATCGGTTCAAATACATGTTCTCCCCGATTATGTTTGTAGGTTTATCAGCACTATACCCTGTGCTTGTGGGTTTCACCAAACTGGTAAATGTGTGAGACCTGAATCATTTCGGGCTTTCTTAGACCGCCTCTGTGGTCTAGTGGTAGAGCATCTGCCCTGAGTGTGGAAGGTGTGGGGGTTATAGCAGAAGACGTTAAAAGATTGTCCTTGTTGTTACCCTGTCTGGCACTCGGCATTAGGGGCTAAAACTAGGACTGTTCGACTCAGAGTCAGTATACTGTGTCTGAGTGGGGTATTCATGTTAAACTGTGGCATGATATCTCAGTGTGCTAGCACTATAAATCGGCATCAGTCCGGACTAGTACAAGCAGCCCCACACACATGCAAGTCATATATAAGTGCAATAATCTTGGACGGGACGTTAAACCCAATTTCACCTCACCTCAGCCCTTTCCAACCACGTTAAGCTGACATGCAGTGATAAAACTGGAAACTCACTCACTCACTCACTTCTGATTTGTGTCAGGCAGCATAATCTGTATTTTAGTTTGAATCATGAAGTGTAGAAATATGATTTATTGATGGAAGATCTGGAGTCAAGAATGTTTTGTTGATAGGGATTTAGAGATTTTAGATATAGCTCCTAGCTTTTAGATAAGCTTTTATTTCTTCATTTCAGTGTCATGCAGTTCACAGAAGTATAACAGAGGTGTTCAAGTATGCTCTTGTTTGGGTAAGATAAATACAAATGATTTCTTTATTCATTTGGTAGTTTTCATAATTTTGTGTAGTGGAGACTTAGCACATAAAAATATCCTTAAAAATCTTATTACTTTTTTGGGGGAACTACAGTATATGTATCCTGTATGTATTAATACTGATGTCTTAATTGATGTTTCAGGGGACAAGCGTCAAGTACAGTCCTCAGAGGGTCGGGCTGAGTCATATCATGAATCATGAAGATGTCATACAAATTGTCAAAAAGTAGAAACTGTTTTTGTTTTAACAAATCCATTTGCCATGTATATTATGTACAGTGTAAATAATCCATTTATATTGGTTTCTCAATATTACAACTTCAGCAGTGATCTGAGACATTATTTTCTTTTCCTTATGTAAATTTGAGTTTAAATATAATTATCATTGCTGTTATAAGGTTTGATGACTAAGTATACAACATTGTTGTAATTGTTGTAAAGAAAATAGTATTTTGCTCTGCATTGTTTTGTTAATTGATAAAAGAAATGTGAAAAATGAAAAAACAGCTGAAAAATCTACATACTAGAATGAGGAATGGATGGCCCAATCATTTGAGGGGATGCAAGTTACTGTGAAGAGTTGCTTCCCTTAGATGTGTCAGGATCAAATGATTGTCAGTTCGAATCCCTTGCATCAAGGATGTAACCTTCTAGCTTTCCTCCAACATCAAGCTGACATGTTACGTAACTGAAATACTGTTCAAAACGGCATTAAACGGTAATTTAAACCAAACCCTATCACTCATGTCCATTTGAGATTGTGACGATTTTAGTACCTCATGTTGTATAAAATTTGTCAGAATTTGTACCCAGCAAATATCACTTGTACCCTATTATGAAGACATATAAAACAATTCTATTGTTCCTGAATACAAAGGCATTAAACGTTGTTATATTTTGCTTCCTGGAATGTTTCATTTGAAGATTTTATTTTTAAATACCTATGTTAATAACAAATTATTTTGTACTCATGTCCTGTTGGAAATTAACCAGCCCTGAAGGGGACTTTGTTGCTTGACCTGTTGACCTGTTTGAACTGTTAGCCCACCCACACTATTTTTAATCCAATTATACATTTACCGTCACACGACTAACCATATCTGCTGACTCAAAATTATTACTTCCATTCCTTTAAAGTAAAACTATCTCTCCTGCATCTTGCTTGTTCTTGTTAAATGAAAAGAAAATTCTAAAATTATATTTTTATTATCTGGCATGAATATCTTGTAAAAAATATTAAAATGATGTCCTAATAATAGGAATTTTGGTATTTTATCTCAAACCCACCCACCCACAACTGAGTCTGATAAGAAAATTCTGAAACTAAAAATATAAACTTAGTAGCCTGGAGGTATTCAAATTAAAATGAAACACATTTTATGTTAAATGGCATAAATTCATGTTTTGCAAGCACAGTAAATTAGTATAAAAAAACTAGGTGGGGAAGGCACTTCACAACGAGTTACAAGAGTTATGTCCCTTTAATCCAATAATCTCACAAACCTGCCTTCTATTCATGTGAAGAGATTGAAAGACATGGATGACAACATGAAGATATTTCATATTTAATCATATTTTATCTCTTTTCCCATCCCATCCTCCAACACCAAACATCATATCCAGTAACTTAATAAGAAGTATGAGAAGTCTTCCTGGATGGCCACAGCTGTCTCATCATAGCTGTGGTCGGTATTTCAGCGAACACATCAGCAAACTTACATTTCCAGTACTACAGATCACAGAATGAACTCAACTCTGACACATAATGTGACAGGTTACTAGATTTTGCAATAGTCAATCAATTATAATATAATAATAGCAAGCATTATGAAATGTTAACAGTCTGAAAAGTCAACGATTCAATTAAGATGGTGGAAGCAAGATCAGTTGTCATGTTGTTTAATGCCTAGCTTTCATTATTGAATTAAAGCTGACACATCTTGGAGATTTCTGTCTCTATTTAAGTATTTCACTTTTTGTGTTTAGGTGATGCCTAAATTATTTTCTGTTTGTCATGCCTGCCATGGGTCCTCAGTATCACATGCCTGTCATGGGTCCTCAGTACCACAAGTTTGTCATGGGTCCTCAGTACCACATGCCTGTCATGGGTCCTCAGTACAAGTTTGTCATGGGTCCTCAGTACCACGTGCCTGTCATGGGTCCTCAGTACAAGTGTGTCATGGGTCCTCAGTACGACAAGTTTCTCATGGGTCCTCAGTACCACATGCCTGTCATGGGTCCTCAGTACCACAAGTTTGTCATGGGTCCTCAGTACCACAAGTTTGTCATGGGTCCTCAGTACAAGTTTCTAGTGGGTCCTCAGTACCACAAGTTTGTCATGGGTCCTCAGTACAAGTTTGTCATGGGTCCTCAGTACCACAAGTTTGTCATGGGTCCTCAGTACCACATGCCTATCATTGGTCCTCAGTACAAGTTTGTCATGGGTCCTCAGTACCACATGCCTGTCATGGGTCCTCAGTACCACAAGTTTGTCATGGGTCCTCAGTACCACAAGTTTGTCATGGGTCCTCAGTACCACAAGTTTGTCATGGGTCCTCAGTACCACATGCCTGCCATGGGTCCTCAGTACAAGTTTGTCATGGGTCCTCATTACGACAAGTTTCTCATGGGTCCTCAGTACCACAAGTTTGTCATGGGTCCTCAGTACCACAAGTTTGTCATGGGTCCTCATAATGAGGTTTGTATGGTATTCAGCTACCTTACCGTGAGTGTCTTTTCCTTAACATCCAGATGCAATTTGATAAAGTAAGTGTGCCTTGTTAACACGAGGGTCATGACTGAATTTCATCTATAGAACCAAGGGGATCAGGGATCACCTCATCATGAGAAGTCACATTCACCTGGGAATGATGTTTTCACCCAAGATATACATTGTATACACTTGACCCTTTAGAAATCAATGGAGTAATGTCAAAAAGATATGCAGATTATAAGACCTATATGATGCGAAACATGACCTAGAATCTGCTTATATCCCCCCCTGAGTTTGCTACAGCCTCAATTCCAGGGCGCCGTTATACAAAGCGATCTTAGCGCTAAGGTGATCGGAACTCCCATACCTTAACACAGACTTACGACAGTCGTAGCACCAAGGTTGTTTTATACCACTGCACCCAGGTCTTGTCCAAGCTGTTTGCAAAGTTTAGTAATTCATTAAATGCATCTACTTATGGACAATATATATACCTATGGACCCTCCTCACACACACACAACACAAGCAGCGTTAAACCCAACTCACTCACTTATGGATCATACATGGACCATGCATTTGCTTTTAGACCATTATTATGCTTCATGGACTAGGGATAATACTTATGGACCATGCTTCTACTTGTGGAGTATGCATATACCTATGGACCATGCACCTACTTATGGACCATTGATTTACTCATGGTCCATGCATCTTCTTATGGACTGTAGATATACTCGTGGACCATGGATATACTTGTGGCCTGCATCTTCTTTGCCTTTCCACCAAGGAACCATTGCTATACTCATAGTTGATATGGTTTCATGCATAGTCATCAGTGTTGGGGTGGTCTTCACACAGAATTGATTCCCTACAAAGCTGCCTTACTTTAAAATAGGGGCGGTCGGGTAGCCTAGTGGGTAAAGCGTTCGCTCGTCACGCCGAAGACCCAGATTCGATTTGACATGGGTACAATGTGTGAAGCCCATTTCTGGTGTCCCCCGCCGTGATATTGCTGGAATATTGCTAAAAGCGGCGTAAAACCATACTCACTCACTACTTTAAAATATCTGCTCTCTTCTCTTTTCTTGGCACTATCTTTAGCTCAGTCGGTGGTGTGTTGATTTGCCAATCCCTGAGTTCCAATTTCAACTTGGTGCAATTGTGTTGCATACATACGTGGCCATCCCTTGATTGCTTCTTTTGGCCCCACAATGTAGGACTTCAAAGAAAACGAGAGTAGTGTGTGGCGTATCGTTGGCACAAAGAGCTCATTGTCTGAATTAAATTGAAAAAGATACCACTGATACATGAAGTATGATTTCATCAATTGCACTATTTGATTATGTTTCCCTTTTGACGTCTAAAACAAGTAAAAAACATCGGGACATTATTTTCATGATTCTTTTTTCTTCTACATATTTAACGTGAAATAAAAACGCTCACAATTTTCCCAAGCAGCTATTGTCTGAGTTTGAATGGTATAACATTAAACATGTCCTGAAGACTTGACAAGTATCATCGTGACCCGCCAGGGAATGGAATCACCTGGAAAATTACATGTCTCCTCGAAAGAGAATCATCGCTAAATCTCACGGCAGGATTTGAATGAATCACTTTGGTGCGTCATGCTCACAGATGCTCAACCGAAACAATTTCTCGAGACGATATCGTCTTCCTAATGTATGGCGTCCCTTGTAATGCCAAGGCATCTACTGAAACCATGCTGTACGGAAAGAGAGAGCGGACTTAATCGCATGTCATATTTCTCTGCCATACCATATTGGCCTGATCGAAATCGATGAAAACAATTACCATGTCATTATAACAGATAAGCCGGAGAGCCTTGCACAGGTCACACTGCAGGTTGTTGACTCCTTGGCCAGCCGATGGTGGCGATATAACGCTTTCAGTGTTACAGTACAGGTGACCGACGCAGGCGTTTCCGTTAACATGAAATATATGTCGGTATTGATTGAAGCGAGGGGAGCTGTTTGTTCTGTATATTCAAGGCCTCCAGACCTACTTGTTTTGGTTTAGAAATAACAAAAGATTCATGACATCTTCAAGACCCTCATCTGCCTTCTAAGATTAGCAGTAATATCTGAGACAGTCGGTGAATAGTGTTGCACATCACAGCATTCTATGCATAGACCTGGGCGTCCTTGGAACTCTGTCGAGTTGGAGGAGACCCACCAGTGAGGTAGTGCGTTGGGTTTCACGCCTCTTTTATCATTATTTCATGCCATGGCTGGTGTCACAAGGATGGGCTTGACACATTATAGCAGGACTCTGACCCGGATCTTCGGCTCAACAAGCCAACGGTGTGGGTTTTTTTTCCATTTCAATTACCGTTTTGCATCTGCTCACACGCTTTTTACCACACACGCGAATGCAAACGTCCGCTGTTTCAACGTTTGAAATAACCAGGATCCGAGGTAGAGGGATGATGTATAAACAAAGTATGATGACAAAATCCAGCGTATATACGTGTGTTGTTTTAGTGAAGGAGCATGTCCCTGCAACTGGCATGGTGATACCGGGCAAATCGGGCACCATGTCAGCATGACCTGGGAGGATCGCCCTATTTGATGCATAACACAAATATGTGACACTTGGTGAAACCCACGAGCACGGATTTGGTAATGTCAGTCCAAGATGACAATCTGAGATTCGAATTTTTGACCTGTGGATTCTTGCAACTCGGCATAGCGAACTGCAACGCCCTGGACAACCTGACGATGCAAATTAGCATGTATTTAGTTTGATGGGATGTCGTCATATCTATATACCATTACAAAACTTGCACGTAACTTCACGTGTCTACCCCAACACTTCCCAACCTTCCCCGCCCATCCAACACCACACAATCCACACACAACGTTCCCCGCCCATCCAACACCCCACAATCCACACCCAACGTTCCCCGCCCATCCAACACCCCACAATCCACGCACAACGTTCCCCGCCCATCCAACACCCCACAATCCACACCCAACCTTCCCCGCCCATCCAACACCACACAATCCACACACAACGTTCCCCGCCCATCCAACACCACACGCCCATCCAACACCCCACAATCCACACACAACGTTCCCCGCCCATCCAACACCCCACAATCCACACCCAACGTTCCCCGCCCATCCAACACCCAACAATCCACACCCAACGTTCCCCGCCCATCCAACACCCCACACCCTTCCAACACCCAACAATCCACACCCAACGTTCCCCGCCCATCCAACACCCAACAATCCACACCCAACGTTCCCCGCCCATCCAACACCCCACACCCAGCCCACAATCCAAACCCAACGTTCCCCGCCCATCCAACACCCCACAATCCACACCCAACGTTCCTCGCCCATCCAACACCCCACAATCCACACCCAACGTTCCCCGCCCATCCAACACCACACACCCATCCAACACTCCACAATCCACACCCAACGTTCCCCGCCCATCCAACACCCCACACCCTTCCAACACCCCACAATCCACACCCAACGTTCCTCGCCCATCCAACACCCCACACCCAGCCCACAATCCACACCCAACGTTCCCCGCCCATCAAACACCACACACCCTTCCAACACCCCACAATCCACACCCAACGTTCCTCGCCCACCCAACACCCCACAATCCACACCCAACGTTCCTCGCCCATCCAACACCCCACAATCCACACCCAATGTTCCTCGCCCATCCAACACCCAACAATCCACACCCAACGTTCCCCGCCCATCCAACACCCCACACCCTTCCAACACCCCACAATCCACACCCAACGTTCTTCGCCCATCCAACACCCCACACCCAGCCCACAATCCACACCCAACGTTCCTCGCCCATCCAACACCCCACAATCCACACCCAACGTTCCTCGCCCATCCAACACCCCACAATCCACACCCAATGTTCCTCGCCCATCCAACACCCAACAATCCACACCCAACATTCCTCGCCCATCCAACACCACACACCCATCCAACACCCAACAATCCACACCCAACGTTCCTCGCCCATCCAACACCCAACAATCCACACCCAACGTTCCTCGCCCATCCAACAACCACAATCCACACCCAACATTAACACACCACTGGCCACACCCATCCAACACCTCATAATCCACGCCCACATTCAACACCCCATATTTCCAAACTAAACATCGCACACCCCACGGTCCACACCCATCCAACATCCCACAGTCCACATCCAACATTCAACAAACCACAGCCCACACCCATCTCTCAACAAACCACAGCCCACACCCAACACTCAACAAACCACAGCCCACACCCAAACACTCAACGCGTCACACTCCACAGCCAACGCCAACTACCAATCACCCACCTAAAAAATCATAAACTGATAGTCATAACATAATCAAAAACAATAAAAGCGTAATGATAAGCTAAACCTTTTGCTATTTAATGTAGCGTTTTGATCTAAACAGCGTCAGTACAGGCAAATTCAATACAAATGCATAAAACTTGAATAAATTCATCGAAATAGTATTTAAAATAAATATCCCCATAGATGATGAACAATTAAGGTTTCCCGTCGCGAAAAGTTCAAATAATAAAGGACAGATTTCCGTTCGATTTCATGCTCGTTATGTGTTTAGTACCAAACAGTGTTTAAATCCACAATGTCAGTTATTGGTATATCACAAAATAATATACAAATCAAATACTCCTTCAACGAAATGACTTTTCCCGACTAAAATTTAGAAAAATGAAAACAGATAGTTTCCATAATGTAGCCATTGTCAGATCAGTCCGGCTGACGATAAGTCCGCTTGATTAGAAACAAACTGATACCTCTGCAATTCGGGCCTACACTATAGTGGCCCTTCTCTCGCTAACCACCATCAAAGCAGACAAAAATTAATCACAGAGACTATGCCTCTCACAGGGTTATCTTTTCCAACTCGCAGTTCATATTATTGACAATTTTCAGAGCCAATGTGACATGCAAGGATCTAGGAACTGTAGTTCACGGCTAAATAAGCCTGAGATTATTGATTTTTGACAGAAATTGGCAAATTTGGCGAAAACTACTACTTGATGCATCGCTTCGACACAGTCACGCTCGCGATAGCTGTCACATTATCTCCGTTGATTTATCACATAGATATGGTATAGACTTTTGTAGCAGTATATTTGTCGCCGTATTATACGAGAGACGAAAATTATAAGGGGAGACGTTTCAAAGTCGGTATTTATGCCATAGTGGGAGATGTTTACATAAAATACATTCAAGATCAACAGTTGTTGTCGTCAACGAGTCGTCCATTTTTAAATCCCGCGTCTAATATATTTGATGTGGTTCCAGAATTCGCAAGACACTGCTATATGCCAAAAACACATGAATAGGAAAAACGGTCATAATCTCCAAGCCTGTCCATCCATCGGCTTGTAATTTCGGTAAAAATGAAAATTGCAATCTCTCAAGGCACTGCATAGAAACTGGAAGACTTTGACGGCGTTCTTCGCGTGGCGATTTCCCGTTGCCATGGAAACGAGTGACAACGCCAACGAGACGAGAAGTTTCCTGCTCATGGGATTTAATGATTTTATCAATAACAGAACGACAGGGCTTAACAGGGCTCTACAACCACCTCGGATATTTCCATATAATCTAAAATTTCGTGTTACTTCATCACACAAAGAGGCATATTACCGAGCTTGTACCGTTCCTTCACAAAAGAAAACGTAATTATTAAATTAATTTTTGACACTTCAAAGAGGCAGCGTCTCATGTGCTTGCGCCCTCGTCATTTGATTCCATATCACGTTTTAGTTGCAGTCTCCCGAAATAGGATAGTTGGATTAAATTTGAAAGTTATATTTCTTTTCTTAGATATTTGGTTACTCTCATTATATAATACTCTTCGATGCGGGAGAAATATTATCTTATCTTATGTAACGAAGCCACAAATCGATACATGTTCATGTGCTCGAGTTATCATGCACTTACCATACACAACAATGACTAAAGCCATCTACACAACACACAAGTTACATATACCGTGATACTAACGTCCACACACAACACACAAGTTACATATACCGTTATTCTAACATACATATACAACATACAAGCTGCATATACCGTGATTCTAACATACATATACCACATACAAGCTACATATACCGTGATGCTAACGTACATATACAACATACAAGCTACATATACCGTGATTCTAACATACATATACAACATACAAGCTACATATACCGTGATTCTAACATACATATACAACATACAAGCTACATATACCGTGATTCTAACATACATATACAACATACAAGCTACATATACCGTGATTCTAACATACATATACAACATACAAGCTACATATACCCTGATTCTAACATACATATACAACATACAAGCTACATATACCGTGATTCTAACATACATATACAACATACAAGCTACATATACCGTGATTCTAACAGACACATACAGCATACAAGCTACAAATACGGTGATTCTAACATGAATATATAACATTTAAGTTACATATACCGTGGTGCTAACATTAAAGCTACATATACTGTGATAATCAGATACATATACAAAAAAAACCAAGCTGCTTATACCACGATGCAAACAGACATATGTAACATACAAGCTACATATACCGTGACACTATCATACATATATAACATATACAAGCTACATATACCCTGATGCCAACAGACACACGTGACATATAAGTATATAACATACAAGCTACATATACCATTAAGTTTTGAAAGGCATTTAGAAGTGATACACATTAGGAAGAGAATTGATGGATATCCACCTCTTTATTATAAGGAACACAGCGTTTCGGGGTATATGCTTACTCCTTCATCAGGCGAATAATGCCAACTTCTTTATTACGAGGAACACAACGTTTCGGAGTATATACTTACCCCTTCATCACCTGATGAAGGAGTAAGTATATGATGATGAAGGAGTAAGTATATACTCCGAAACGCTATGTTCCTCATAATAAAAAAAGTGACATCCATAAATTTTCTTCCTTATACATATGCCATCGTCAACGAACATACAATCTACAGTCACAGTGATGCCAACAGACATATACAACATACAATCTACATACACAGTGATGCCAACAGACATATACAACATACAATCTACATACACAGTGATGCCAACAGACATATACAACATACAATCTACATACACAGTGATGCCAACAGACATATACAACATACAATCTACATACACAGTGATGCCAACAGACATATACAACATACAATCTACATACACAGTGATGCCAACAGACATATACAACATACAATCTACATACACAGTGATGCCAACAGACATATACAACATACAATCTACATACACCGTTGTCAATAGACATATAACAAACAATCTACACACACCACGATACTAACAGACACTTGTAACACACAACCAGTGCATATTCACACGTAATCTAGAACTTTATGTGACCGGAAGTAACATATGACGTCGTGTGATATGAAAGGAAAGTGCCGTACAATATCTATAAGTTCATTTTCTTCGCTTGGGCTAGGACCCCAAGCATAGGTAGACTGCTACCCATGTCCGCCTTAGCCCAATGGCCTGTTTCTAGATACGATACCCGACGTATCCAAGGTAATCAGGTTTATATACCATGGTTATACTTATATCTCCGACCCGTGACGATCCGATATAGAATTCATATTCAGCAACCCATGCTTGTAAAAGGCTACTAACGGGATCGGGTGGCCAGGCCGCTGACTTGGTTGATGCATGTTACTGTAACCCAATCGGTGCTAAGAATGTTAATCACTGGATTGTCTGGTCCAGACTTGATTATTAAGAGACCGCCATCATATAGCTGGAATATTGCGGCGTTAAGTAACAAACAAACAAAGAATATCTATATTTCCGTATTACTGTTCTATTGATGTAACGTAACGTCTTATAGGAATGTCGTACAACCAGGGCTCGCATATTTCACTAATAAAGTTTCTGAATTTTCAAACCATCTTCTCGGTTATTGTGTACAATGATCACAACTTACTAGCGTTAATTGACAACCCAAGACAGGCGTAGTTTGGCCTCAAGTCTCTCGGTGGGCGGCTGTTAAGGAAGAATGTATACGTTCGTCTTGCTGACGCACGCACGTCTCTAGTCACTTTGCCAGAGATTAGGTTCAGCGGTGTACGACAGATACGTATATTCCAACCTATATTACTGCAACAGAGGCTGCCTCCGGTGTATAAGTAGCTGCATCCACATTGTCACTGAATCTTGGTTAATATAGGGATGTGTGACACGCCACACAAAGGAGGGCCAAGTGGTGTATGAAGACAATATCTCATTGCAGGGCTTAAGGCTGTCGTATTGTGTTGAATATTGGGGATGTGGAAATGGTGGGTCACGGGAAGAGGGGGCCGTAAACAGCACATGAACATAGAAACGGAGATATTTTGTCATTTGTGCGCTTTTGCGATTTTTGGTAGTCGGTTATATAACTGGCCTGAGTCAGAGGTGTAGGGCATCGACATATTACATTTTATAGCTAAAATGGATAAAATTATCATTAAACCGCCCGCATGTTATCAAAAATGAGCGGGCCACTGTAACTTGATAATGTCCTCATATTGCTTGACGACGGGCCATTATCACGCCCGTTGTTAGGTGACGTCATAGGATAGGGATAGGTGACGTCACGTTCAATAGTGACGTCATCTGGTTTGTTCTATGACGTTTCCATATTTGTAAAAGTTGGTCAGTGACATTGGTGTTGATTGAAGTAAGTGTTTCAAAACCGATAGTGTTTTTTCTTTTTATTTGATAACAAATTCCATCCATTTTAGCTATAATTTTTCAGGGTATTATCATTTGCAGAAGCCCTTGGTCTTTTCAACTGCCCTCCTTCGTCGGGGAGATTGTATATTTCTATCAGCTACAGCTGCAAAACCAGATGTATATTTTATTTAGAATCTTGAACTTGATTTTTTTTTTTAAAAAGAATAATATCTTGAAACAATGTAATGTTTGCGGCGGGTAATTTATTTTTTATTTTTTCATTTTCCAGGATAATATAGTTTTTCGATAAAATCACAGGCCGTCAATTCATTTTCATTGTTTGATGACGTCATGCGTTTCTTGGGCAAATGCCCACCGGGGCATAAAATGGACTTGTCTGACATTGCCGAGGTTGGATTCTATTGAGGGAGTCATCATTATTTAAATACGGGTAAATATTTTTAAAGCTTGTACAATTTACCGTCATCCTTAAAGAGGCTGTACATATTGTTGATATCTCATACCAAACACTCGGCTGGCCCACCCCCCTAAAAATAACCAAGACCTACATGCATGCATAGGACGAAATACCGCCAGTGTCCACATTTAATCGACTCTAACAAGCAAAATGGGGGTCTTGTCTACATGACACATTATATTAAAAACGAATTTTTACGACAGTCAGTGCATGGTCTCTTTCAAAGAGGATATTCTGTTTCACACAAATGTTACTCATATTACGAACTGTGACACCAATCCTTTTTAGAATAAACCCGTGAAGATCCGGGGTAGAATAGATCTTCAGTAACCCATGCTTGCCGTGAAAGGCGACTATGCTTGTCGTAAGAGGCGACTAACGGGATCGGGTTCGCTGACTTGGTTTATGCATGTCATCGATCCCAATTGCGTGGATATAAATCACTGGATGGTCTGGTCCAGATTCGATTATTTACAGACCGCCGTTCTATAGCTGGAATATTGCTGGTAGCGGCGTTAACAACAAACCAACCAACTTTGTTAGAATAGGTCCTCGGCGCCCTATGCTTGTCGTAAGAGGCGATGAAATGGATCGGGTTGCTTGGCTGGTGTACGTACATGTTAGTTGATTTCGTATCATGGTACACCAGACCTTGTTCATAATATCGGTCACTGATTTGACACGAATTATTAACAGGCCGCTACCGTAGTAAACAAACAACATTATAGGCCTAATTATTATAATTCTACTTGCCTTGACAGATAATTACACGAACAATAATATTTATTGAAATATAAATATTCATACTGAATTAGAACTAGATATCGTCCCACCTAGGAGATTCTTTGAACATAGTATATTGCCTTTAGGATGGTGAAAATAATTTACAGGTAGATCTATGCATAGTTAGGCTATTTGTCAGAATGAAGAAGTTCTTTGTACGGTATTGTACTATTAATTTGACACCATATATATGAGGTTTCGTGTTCGTATACTGACATCTACTTTAAATATTTTGTTTATGTCATGTTAAGTTTCCTTATATGTAGCTTACATCCGCTTATGCATGCAATGCGTAGATCAACCATAGCCTATATATAGTCCTTCGAAGACTACATTTAAAGTCGTTTTTTTTGTGTAGGAAACATTCTCAGATGTTTATACATTGCAAATGCTTTGTCGACGTATAAACATTATTTCATATCAGCTGTAAATACCAACAGCTGTGTCAGACAATGTGACAAATTTCAATCATGACTCTCTATCCAGGTATATCATTGTCTCATATCGGCTCCCCGATTCTCACAAACCAGTCAAGAAAATGTTCATGTGTCTCGTCTCTACAATCGCTCCCGGAGGCACTTTCACATAAATTATACCTCATTCATAAACTAAACATATTTATTTTGGAAAACATTTATAAAATCGTCATGCGGTGATTAAATGTTTCAGATATGTGGTGGAGGGTCATTATTTCTCAAAGCCTGTTTGTCTGCTGCATGGTCTATTTTGATCTATTTTGCACGATCCGCATGACCTCGCGAGCTCTGATCACGTGATTCGCGGCCATTATGCTAAGGTTTCTGAAAGATGGCTTCGCTTTTTCAGGAGATTAATTTAGTCATACAATAAATTTAATTGTTCCAGAAGATGCCTGGACCTGTCGAGAGATGGCTCGAAACATTTATGTGCAAACAGTATGCTGAAACGTTTGAAGCCTATGGATTTAAAACTCTTCAATCAGTGAGTGTTTGTACGCGGGTTTTTCCAATATGGCTACCGCGTTCGCATTTATTCCAATGCGTCTTTCGTTTACCTCTCGATTTTCACGACTATTTCTGGTGTTGTAGGTATGCCAACTGCAGTTGCCACAACTACAGGCTATGGGTGTAGCTCAAGAACATTGTGAAAAGATCTTAGAGAATGTCTATGTTCTGAGACAAACACTTTTAGGTGAGATCTAGATCCTATTTCGTATTAGAAATTTGAAAGTGTAGACTTGGTGGATGTATCATAAATAAAAACAATGCGTGTGATACTATGTGAATTATATGATTGTACGTTGAACGTATTTGCTTTCATGTTATGAACCAAAGGCTAATTGTTCCATATGGCAATGGATTTACTACACATAGATCATCAGATGTATCTGTCAATCATCAAATTCAAAGTGGACACAAATGATGCATTTAAAACGAATCAAGAAGAGAAACACTTCAAAGGTCTTTTGATTGACTAAGAAAGACTAAATACCGCCTTTGTGATTTGTAGGAAAACGTGTATAAAAGTACAAGGGCAGTATTATGAGTAATTACTGACACAGTTTGTTAATGATTCCATGACATGTGCTGTTGACATGTTTCTGGAAAGCAGCTCTGCCAGATGTCACCCACATTGCACTCTTTGAAGGGCTATACTATTTTTATAGTATGTACTATGATCTACTCAGATAAAGAAACTGCCATTCATGCTGTTAATCACCATGGGAAGAAAATGAACTTAATCTGTGAAATTTCCATTTCTGTACTTCTTTTCAAAGTAGATCTATGTCCACAATGAAACTTAGTTCACCAAATTGGCTGAATAAGTGATTTATTTGAATGTTTTAACATTCAACTGATGTTGTAATTAAGATATTGACGTGTCACGTAAGTCCTACTTGATCATGTTGATGCGGCTCTTTGTTTACATGGTATGGACAATAGTGTTCCATTTATGTTAATGATTTGAACAAAGTAAAGTGATGTTGAGCCCTCAGTTTGATAAAATTCACGTGAACAAGTAAAGGTATTGAGTAATAAAAGATTAAGAATAATGACATGTTTAGAAAGAATAGTTATTATTTGTATGGTTATGCCAAAGACCCATCTTAGACAATCACTCTTAACAATAGATTGGCATGTTACATGATAAGCACATACCCATATGTACCATTCTGCACAAGTGTTCTGCTTCTTTTTTGTTCACACTAATTATAAGATGTTCACAATTGTACCGTTAATGATGATATACACACATCTGTCATGTCCTTAAATGTATTTTACACATAGTATATATGCTGATGAATCATTACTGCAGAAAACTTGCAGTCACTAAAGTTAGAACAAGCTGTTTTTGCCAGTGGCGTGGCCATTAATTGGTACATTAATATAGTCACAAACATATTCCTTCTTCTGTGAAAACAGTTTGGTCTAGCTGCTTTTTCTTAGCATGAACCCTGTGGGGATTCCAGGTTAGAATATGACCCCAGTAGCCTATGCCAGTGGTAAGATGAGTGATTTTAGTCCACTAGTCCTTGTAGTGATAACATATACCAATATCCTTAAAAATGACAAATTTTTGCTCATCATTATGATACCTAACTATTGGGCATTGGCAATAGGACAAGTGCAAATGTCTGTTGCTGAATAGGTGGATTAGGTGGTCATGCTCGGTTTGGGTTGTGGCTTTAATCTGAATCACTGTTTTGTCTGGTCCACCAAGGCTCTAGATCATGAGATAATGTTTCAAACCATAAGTATTTATTCAATATATTTTTGCCACTTTGGGTCCGATCTATTGGATAGTTGCCAATGGGTAGACATTTTGTTTAAATAATTCTGCCTAAAACGCTGTTTCAGGTGATTTCTAAGTTGTATCTGTTCTCTCTCAAGTGTGTAACATGTTACATAAACTCAGCAGCATCTGCTGCAAATACACATCTGCTAAATAAATTATATGTATTGTCATTTGTATTCATTAGTCGCTGCAGTAAAGTTTATGTAGGTGTCATTTCTGCATTTGATCAGTAAATAAAGACCTGTAAAGAAATACAAATGTGCATGTTGAAAAGAATGCAGCGGATACATTGGGTAATTCCGCAAAGTATTGACATATAGTATTGGGTTTTTGAAGTTTTACATGCATATTTGTATGCAAGCAACTAAACATAAATTGGGTAATAGTGATTCATGTTTTCTCAAATATTCAGCTTATCTCTGTGGTCCAGACTCAATCATATGTGGGGTGCCATGATAGCTGAATATTGCTGATGGCAGTGTTCAACAACATTCACTCACTCCCCTCGACAGTTGAATCCTACATATTCTCCCATCACCTAATGTCATTCATATATTACATTCTAATCATTAAAATGGAACATTTGTGTAATAAGTTAATGACTTATTTGGTGTTCGTAAATAGAAACCCAATAAAAGGTCTGTTCTTACACAACTTGAAAGATAGGGTTTGCTTTTGCTCAATGATCTCCAAAGTTTCATTTATTTATTTTTCCAAAAGATGTTTCTTAGAAACATGACAACATAACATGGCAACATAACATGACAAACACTTCTGAAGCAAGGGAAAAACACATTATAAAGATATAATGCACATCCTTGTTGAGTTTATAAACACATCGTTTCTATTTTGGGCTAATCTGCAGACAAAACAGGTTTCATTCAAGTCATTATCTCATTAGTTTACATGTATTGCAAACTCAGATTGTTATAGGTATCACCTGACACAGCAATAAACGTTTACCCTAACTTCATGAAGGCAAAGCATTATTATTTGTCTGTTTTGTGAAAACCCTTGTGTACAAATTGACAAGAAAGCATGTAATGACAAACATAATGGTTAAGAAGCAGAAGTCCGGAATGTCCTTTGAAATGTCTTGTGTACTCCAACATTGGTTAATGTTCTTGATATATTTGCAAGTTTTATGTAGGGGTGAAACAATACACAGGTGCATCGTGAGTTTTCATGCAATGATACGATACATGATATATATTTTTTCTTCTCTTTATTGATACAAAACGATACACTTGTTAAAATTAATGACTAACTAGTCATTTTCTCAGTCACATATAGCAAAAGTTTATTGTAATAAGCGTTTCTAATAATAGTCGCTAGGAACATGTGTCTACAGCTAGCTTTCCTTTTGAACCTGCTCTGTATTGTTTATAGTCGAGAAGTTTCCTTGCAATTTGTCGTGAATATGTGCAGTGTAAATGCGATACATGTCATATCTTGACCTATGTATCAAAAAAATCGTATTATGACCATGCTGCATCATGTCACCCAAGTTGTATATAATGAAATCGATAAGAGTTCAGATAAGTGACTTTACTATTGGTGTGTAGGTGCAGTGGTTGGATTAAGACAAGTTTGAAATGTATGATGATACTTGAACATGATATTCAGAGATGTTTATGTCTCCAGAGTGGATATTGTTATTATGTAATGTTGATACCTTCTTCATTACATTTAGAGTTAATTACTTAATATTTGAATTCTTACATGATTATTTGTGTAATAATCAAAGTGTTAAAATGGGAACCATTCAAGTAAAGGTTTTATCTTTTAATGGGGAATCAAAGTTACACAAATTAGCTTCTGTTTGTGTTGTATTTCCAGCTGGAAACAACAAGGGTCCGGGGCTATCTGAAAGTGCTAACTTTGACCCATCTATCAATTCAGCCAGTTCAGCCCTAAGATCTGTTGCTATGAATGCTAATTACCAAAGAGGTAAGCGCTATGCTAACCACCAAAATTTATATATTTTAGGCACTTTCGATCAAAACATAATCAAACTGCCTATTGTAATCATACTGAAGGATGCATCAAAATCCACCTAACCCAGCCACCATCGATATCAATGACTCCATTCCCCAGAACGAATCACTAGTTTTAATTGAAAAATGTAATATTTATGGGGATTTTACTACTCTACAATATTCCACAATCCTGTGGCAAATTAGTTTTCTAGTTGATTCAAATTTAGTGTTTATTTCTACTGACCATTAACTTTCGTTTTCAGGCAGTATGAACCACTACCCTGATGAGTATAGTGGTTTTGGCCCTGGTGGTCAAGGAGGTGGTGGAAGAATTCCAGCAATGAACTACCCAGGACGATATGAGGAAAACAACATGGTTTGTTTTATGGTTATTATCCACACAAAGACCTTGTATATCCAAGTTGCAATGTGAACATTTCTATAATACCGTCCATGTTTGTCTAGTTTGAGTTCAATACAACAGAAAATCCATTTCACAAAATAAAGCACACCTGATTCCTAGATATGTTACTGTAACTTGTTAGATGAAGTCTAAAATAATTCTTGAGAGATCTCATTCTGTTTGGATACATATCTTTTCACAAATTACTGTTAGACACTTCAATTATTTCACATGAAGTAAATATTTCAGTAGTAGTTAAATAATAGGTAGTTGAACTCGTAATATTGGCTTAACGTGTTCTGAAAACTAGAATTTGTTCCACACAATGTTACTCAGAAAAGGATACATATTGTATTGTGAACAGATTATAATGATACATTTTGTATCCTGACTTGGTCTGAAATTATTGTACAAGATGGATTCTGTAAGGCATTAATGAGATGGATTCTGTAAAGCATTAACATGTAAATTTCTGAAAATGATTCATTCAGTAAATGATATTATTTAACATTTGGGATATAAAATAATTCATGCAGTATTCATACATTAGCATTAACTTTCTTGATATTATTAGCTCCTCGGTTTGAATAACTGGGGGATATAGCGATCAGCATGCCTAACTGTCTGCCTGTCAGCCGTTTGTTTTCTGTTTCCAGAGCAGCACGCCAAAACTTTACAATATTTTTACCGGGTAGTTGAAACTTTCTATATAGATCGTCTAGTTGGGAACTGGTATCTTTTGATAATTTGGAATTTTTGTACTTTTTATTTTGTTCTGTTTTCCTGATTTTTCCTGATGAAAACAAGTTGTTTTCCGTTTCCGGAGCAGAACTACAAAAAACTTGAAATATTTCTTGTTGAAACTTGCTATATAGATCAGTCTAGTGGTGAATTGGAGCCTTTTGATAATTTGTGATTTTAAGAAAAAATTATTGTTTTTTCATGACGACAAGTTGGACTTCTACTGAAAATGAGAGTAGTTCCGTTTCTGGAGCAGAACTCCAAAACCGTTGAAACTTGCTATACAGATCAGTCTAGTGATGAACTGGTGCCGTTTGATGATTTAGGATTTTGAAAAATATTGAACAGGAATATAATTCCCTTCACTGAGAGTATCCAATTGTAATGAACCAAACGTGAGGTATAAGTAGCCGAATTCCTTCACTGAACTGAAGATATCCAATGGCAATGAACCAAAAGTAGGGTATAAGTCGCCAAACGACATTCCAAATTGCACTAGACTGGGGGGATATGTCATCACCTGATGACTCTTGTTATCTTTGCAGTGAAAACCTTGCCACCATGTATATTCTGCAAGGTATAAGACTGTTCTATGTTATTCATTTCAGGGAAACATGGGTCAAAGTATGACTAGCTACCAACACCATATGGCTGGTTATGGTAGTCAAAGTCAGGCTCAGATGATGATGCAGCAACACCAATCACAACAGCAACATGTACAACCTCAACAGCAACAGCAGCAACAACAGATGATGAATCATGGTGGTAGTATGTACCCTGGACAGCAGCACTATATGGGGCAACAGCAGCAGCAGCAACAACAACAACAACAGCAACAATTTCCCAGCCCATCAAACCCTTACCCAGGCCAGTACAGCATGCCTGGAGTCCCTCCACAGCAACAGTCATCTCAAAGTCAGATGTCTGGCAACAGTTACTATCAGAATACACCACACCCTTCACCAATGCATCATCATGCAAGGCATTCATCAACAACACAGAGCCCACAGCAGGTGGCTGACAGCATATTGCATATTGCTTCAAATTATCCTCAACAGCAAACAGTTCAGGTGCCTATTCAGAAGAGTAGGTCTGCTCCTTACCATGTTCCAAGATCACCACATTACAATATGCAGTCAGGAAGTCCTAACCAGTCACCAATGGGTGGCAATATGAACAGACACATGGGATATCCATCCCCGTCATCTCACCAACAGCAACAGTCGAGAACATCACCTATCAGTCCAATGTTGATGCATAGTCCAGTTTCTCATCAAAGCAACCAAAGTTTACCGAGTCCTGGATCCATGCATAGTCCTACTTCTGGAATACGATCTCCCATACCAACACCTCCTCCTGGATATCATAATGTAGGACTGCGCTCCCCTTGTGACATGCAACAAATGGCATCTCCAATGGGGACTGTCCAGTCCATGAGATCGCCAGGTCACATGCCTCCGATCAACATGTCACAACCAATAGGTTCTCCAGCCGGCAGGTCGTGTAGTAGCGGAAACATGACTTCACCAGGTCAGCATCAGCAGCATTTCTCTCCTAACCCACTGAACTCTCCATCCAGTCATGTTGGTTCTCCATACACTCCATCTTCCAAAGCTCATATCAGTAGCCCACCTCAGTCACAGAGTTACCAAAACATTTCTAGTTCTACCTCGCCTAGTCCATATATAAGTGATATGTCGTCTCCAGATCCGGGACCACGCTCTGGTGTAGGTCCATCTAATCCCCTTCAGTCACTTCAGAAACTAGTGATGCTTCCAGAAACACAAGTGGTTGATCCTAAGAGTGTTGTGAATGATGCTTGTTTACCCTCCCCACAAAGTAATGAGGGTTCAAAAAACTGTGATGACTCTGCAGAGCAGCCGAGCGGGGAGGCCTGCGGCAGCACTGCAGAGTGTTCAAATAGCAACAGCACAGACCGTGCTAGCTCCAGCCAAAGTCCTCCATGCACAGACGGTAAGCACTGCAATGAAGTTGGTGATCATTCTGAAGATAAACTCTCCAGTGTGAAAAACCAAAATGAATCAATGCTATCTGTGAAAGACAATATAGAACCAACACCTGAAATAAGTGAAAAGTTCAATCATGACTCTTGTACTAATCCTGGTCCAACTGTGAGTTTGGTACAAGAAAAAAGATCTCCTGTCCAGAACTGTGATAACCAGGAATTCAAGAAAATGTCAAAGGATGCACAGTGCCCTTTAATAGAAACTCCTGTTGATAGTCCAAACAGTATGAAATTAAACCTGGAGTCAGCTAAGAAAGAAGATGTTACAAGCCCTAGGGACAAAAATTTGAATTGTGATAATACCAAGAAATGTAAACAGGACAATTGTGAATCAATCATAATAGAACCAAAATTGGTCAATGGAGACATTGACCACTGTAATACTACTCCAGCTACGTCAGTTAGAATGAATTCTACATCTGTTTCAGGAAAAGTTAACAATGTAATGAATAAAAAGGCTGAAAACCATCGGACGAAAGAAGCAACTGTTAAGGCATCTGACAGAAAAGAAAGTAACAAGATTGGAGAAGTATCCACAGTGAATTCTGTGGATGAAAAAAAGGGTAAAAAAAGAGGTGTCAACAACAGTAATGACAAATGTGACAGTCAGAAAAAGGCAAGAATTGTAAATTCTGTGAATAATGATGAAAATGAAAAGCACAATGACTCAGTTGATGGAGTGGAAGAAGTGGAAACTCTAAGGGTAAGAAAAGACTCCGGCAACACATATTCTAGGCAGAGTAGGAGTTCTTTCTTAAGATCAGATGAACTTTTCTCAGATTTTGGAGAAGAATTGGATGGTATAAAGAATGAAGACTGTCCTGATACAGCCACTTCACCCACAAGCAATTCTGGTCCAGTCAATTCCGAGCTAGATACCTCTGATGTGTCATCAGACAAAAGAACAGATAAATTGCCTTCCAAATCGCCCAAACAGCCTAATGTGAACAAGAAAATGAATTCTTTAACTAAGAATACAGATTTGAAAGAAACAAAGACAAATATGGCAAACAGTTTTCAAGATGGCTCATCATCAAAGTTTCCTGGTAGTTCCAAAACTAAAGAGACTAAAAATAAGTGCAATGAAGAGAAAAAGCTACCTTCGCAATCAGCAGATAGTGCAAAAAGTAGTGACAAAACCAAACCTGCATCCAATATGTCTTATGATGTAGAAGTTTCTTCAGTACAAATACCACAGACTCCAAAAACTATTTCATCTGCAAAGAAGAGAAAACATACAACAAACTCAGAGAAAGGTAAGAAGTCTAAAGACAATAGTGTAAGTACAGACATTTCTACAAATGGAGTGATACAAAGCCAAGAATCAAAACCACCTCAGGTGAAGAAAGAGCTGACTTTCCATATCAATGAAGAGGATTCTCCAATGGAAATTGTTCTTTTATCAGATGATTCTGATATTGAGGATAAATCCTTATCTGTGCTCAATGTCAAATCGAGCACTGGTGGAATAAAGGCTGAAGCAATGGATTATGATGATTCTATTGGATTGGAATCAAATGAGTCACGAGATGTGGATAGAAAGAATAACTCCAATGTAGCTGAAACTGTGGACACAAGTCCAAATTCTGACAAGAAAAAGAGGGGTAGGCCAGTTGGGAGCAAAAATAAAGCCAAGGTGAAAGAAAAAGAAAGATCAGGAAAGAAGAAGAAAAAGAACAAACCCAATCCTGAGGAAGATTCTTTCAAAATGATGAAGTTCAATAAAACTCTTGAAGCTATGAAGAAAAAGAAGAGAAGTGATGGTATATTTTCATCTGGACCATTTATTAGAGTTGAGGGACCCCGGTCTCACCCAGCAAGTGTGAAAGTATTCAATGATACACCAACTGATGACTTGGACTCAAAGTTAGGCAAAAAGAAAGCCAGCAAGGGCCTGGTGTCATCCGCACCTTCTCTCCAGATCTCCAATCTTCCAACTGAAAAATCAGTAATGTTGCCATCTCAGAAACTTACGAGTGACACTGTTTGGGTGTGTGCTCTCTGTGGGAAACATAGCAGCTACAAGATCCTGGGTGATCTATTTGGGCCTTATTACATCGAGAGTCACCTTGCTCTGCTCAAATCAGAAGAAGAAAGCAAGAAGGAGGAACTGTTGAAGAAGAAGACCCCCGAGTCCACTCCAACAGGCGAAGCTGGGGGAAATAGCAGGCGCAGTCGGAGAAGGACGTCCAACGAAAGACGGTCTAGCTCAGGGATGAGTGTATCTGAACCACCACTTCCTAAACCAAAGGAAGTGTGGGTGCATGAAGATTGTGTTATGTGGACTGACGGGGTGTTTCTCATTGGATCCAAAATATATGGATTAGAAGAAGCTGTCAAAGTGGCAGGGTCCTCAGTATGTAATATTTATCTATTTTTGTCTTTGATAAAGTTTCGTGGGATATTTCTTGAATTTCATTTGACCTCCTTACATGTCAGTGATACTAAAAAAATATCAGATAAACTGAGATGAGAGAGTTCACAATAGAAAAGTTTTCCTTTTTAGAAATATGGAGCCCTGCAACAAGCGAAACATTTATCTGTGTACGAATGCTTTACTAAGAAACATTTGACCCCTTTTATCGTGTTAAATAGTCCCTTTCTCTCTTTGGCCATCCTTTCATTTCTTTTAATCACACTTCAATCAATGGTCTCAATCAACTGGGTCACTGCAGATTAAAAAACAATCAATAGTGTAAAATGTGCCTGTTATGCTTTATTGATTAGTCAAGACATACTGAGAATTGTCATCATGCAGTACACATTCATTTTGTCCCATCTTTACACTACAACAGTTGCAAAGGGGACAGACTGTGCCCAGTGACCTCTTATAAAGTGTACAAAGACAAAGCTTTTTTATAGATTGGACATGGTGATTCCATGATCTCAAGAGAACTGAAAGGTTGGTCTGGAAGTGTTTGCATTTCAATTACACTGCAAGTTGTGTTTGCACAAAGGGAGGTAATCTGTGGCTTATGGCCCCTTTTCCTCTGACATGGGTTGTGGTATTGCCCATTGTTTATAAATTAATCTTATTGTCAAGTCATGCCATGTCCTTTCCCTTTTCTTCAATATCGTGTTTGTCAAAATATCATTAGAGCTGAGGTCATTTTGGAAAACAAAAATCTTTACCCATAGTTTATCAATAGACATGGGAAACATCAGAAATCAACTTAAGAAAGTATTCTTGGTTCTCAGCACTTTTTTCCACACAGTATAAGGTAGAGGATGTTACATTTTTTTCTTTATTTCTTCAGTAGGTTACAAATCTAATAACATGATAAACATGATACTAATGTACCACATGACCTGTGCACATGGTGTGTGCAAAATGTTGGCAAAAGCAAAATTTAATTTCAAAACGGTTATGAATAATTAATTTTAAAAAAGTCAGGTCAGATCATTTGAAACAAATTTATTTTAACAAGCCTAAACACTTGGTGACTACCTACAGAGCAATTTCTACATAAATTCATGCATATCATAATGTCTTCTAATGTAAATCAAGTATTAATATTATGTTTGCAGCTCTGTTATTCTTTCTTTTCATTTTTATCCTAGGTCTGCTCATGCTGCAAAGAAAATGGTGCTATGGTTGGATGTTTAAACAAAGGCTGCAGTCAGAAATACCACTTTTTATGTGCCACAGAGAGAGGTAACCTTCAATGTCTAGTTTGTACACGAGAGAAGAGTAGTATTCGTTATTTTTGTGTTTCACATTGTCCCACCTTCAGTGAGTGGCTTGAAGTATGGCTTTTCCTCATAATAGAAATGAACTGGTTTATGACTTTTATTCAGTATTTCAATGTCCTACAGCAAGAATCAATTCAAAGGAAGATAACATTTGTTGTAATTCATATTTGTTTCTGCTAAACTGGAGGGCCGCGTATTACCATGTGGTCTATTTTTTGTTGAATTATTTCAAAGTCTTACCCTGCAGCAAGTCTAGTATGTTTGAAAAGATTTAGATTTGGTGGACTTTACAGTTAAAACCTAAACATCAGGATCCCCATAAAAAAGTTGTCTCTTTCTCAATTGTACCTCAATGCCATGGGACATCACTGGTTTGTCTGGTCCAGATTTGCTTATTTACAGGCTGCCATCTTATAGCTGGAATATTGTGGTGTGGTGTGTTAAACAACGAGCACATATATAAGCACAAGATCGGTTGTCATCTGCTGAATATGAAATGGCTATAATCTCTTTTGGAATAGCTTTCCTGAGTCAGTCTTAATGTGTTCGCATAACCCAGTTGAATATGAATAGACCCAGATGTGGTCAACAATACTCCCCTCGTGTAATGAAAGCATATATTATGATATTTCAAAACCATTTCTTTGCAGGATGCTTCCTTGATGAAAACAGATTTTCTCTACTGTGTCCCAAACATAAGGTATCGGTCTCATAGAAATAGATTAATGTCATTATTCATCTGTAGGTGTAACAGCAATACCTGTAACTAGTGAAGAGAGAATTGCATCCCTTGGGCACAGCAGAAACCGATGATCATGGATTTGAATTATGGTTCGCCCCAATTATGTTTATAGGATTGTCGGCATCATGCCCATGCTCTTGGGTTTCACCAAGGTGGTAAATGTCTGAGACCTGCACCAGCTTGCATCCCACATTAAGGTGACACACTGTGATATAACTGGAATACTGTTCAAAGCAGTTTTAAACACCGCTCACTCATTCACTGACTCCAATGCAATGTGACAGTACAGATGCTTATGCCTTTATTTGCAAGTGATAACAACTGGTATAGATGTACTAGCATCTGTACCAAAATGCCACATTTAGAAGTGGAATCCACAAGTCAACACTGTCATTGATAGGACAGCTTCTGGAATGCTACTTAAAGATATTGGAGCCTGCAGTGTAATTAGTTCATTAGAAATGTGATGACTGCATCATTAAGAAATCAATAAAGCACACTTCCCGAAAAAGGTACAACTGGAGTATTAATTTATGCTTTGTCTTTCAGGAGAAGAGAATAAAGATTGAACAACCATGTACTAAGTCATGACACAAGGTATCTAGGTATACTTTTGATTGAAATAAAAATTATTAGAATCTGAACCAATAATAAGCATGGTCATAATGTAATGTCGTGTGTAATTTTGTCCCTTAAGTCAACACTCTCCTTAAAGATTTCACTACAGTGGGGACTGCCTCCGTGGTCTAGTGGTAGAGCGTCCGCCCGGAGAGCAGAAGGTCTAGGGTTCGATCCCCGGCCACGTCATACCAAAAGACGTTAAAAGATGGTACTTGTTGTTACCCTGTCTGGCGCTCGGCAATAAGGGGCTAAAACAAGGACTGGTCGGCTCGGAGTCAGTATACTGTGTCTGAGTGGGGTATTCATGTTAAACTGCAGCATGGTATCTCAGTGAGCTAGCACTATAAATCGGCATCAGTACGGACTAGTACAAGCAGCCACACAAACACACACGTACATGCACGTCGCTATATAAGTGCAATAATCTTGGACGCGGCGTTAAACCCCATTTCACCTCACCTCACTGCAATGGACATTCAGCTCACTTTGATCGTGCTTTGGTACTTTCTGAACATATTTTGATTTGGGACCCTTTGATGTAACATATGATGTTAATAAGTTTGTTTTAGGCACCATCTTCTGCACTCAACTCTGGTCATTGCCGCCCAAAATATCTTATGTGCCAGTAACTACTTACTAAAGATGGTTTTCTTCACACAAGTGATTGTTACCATATGATAAGAACAAGAATATTACTCTCAGATTATATTGTGCATGTTCTTAAACTTTGCAAGCCACATTACACAGCCACACTTTCCTTATTTGATGGCTTAAGAATTCACTACATAAAATATTTGGCCCACTCTGAATGTACCTGATGAGTAGCTGTGCCTTTGCACTTTTTATATATTGTAGGCTGACAAATACTGTGCCTTGTGAACTTTTGTAGTTGCACCCCTTAAATCATTAGTAGTCATTCATATTTTGTCTTCACCTGTTGCAGGTTTAAACATGCTGTTACAGTGTAGCAGTAGATCCCAGTCTGAATACTGCTGAGTTGTAATCAGCATGTCCAGTCCACCGGCTAGGACAAATGGAGACAGTGCCCCACCACTTCTCATTGACGTCGCATTGGGGCTGTGGAAGACTCAACTAGCAACACCACTGATGAGATGTGTGCTCCAGACAGAGAGACAAACTTATGCTAAGATATTCATTGTATAACTGTGCCTGCTTATGACGCTTACAGGGTTTTACTGGACACAAAATATTGTGTCATTTAGCCATAAAAGTTTAGAATGGATGCAAATAATATCCACTGCAAGTCACATGCAAAAGTGTTTGGATGTTGGAATGATTGAAACTTCTTTAATTGAAGCATTTAAGATTTATATGATTTTTTTTGTTATGATGACATGTCCGTCATTGCTCAGCCAGCCAATCATCACTGTAACCATATAGCTGGAATATTTCTGAGTGCAGTAAAAGACAAAACAAAAACAAAATCAGTAGCTAAGACTGATGTAAATAAGATCATCCCAATCTATTTAATTAAAAGCATAAAGCATTGCACTTCATATTTTATTTGTTGTTGCTACAGTAGTCCTCCTGGAACCCCCATTTTATGGGTTAGTCCCCGAAAATATCTATTACTAGCAATCCCCCGGACATGCAAATAAATAGACCAAGGTATGTAAATCTTTCAGCTTATTTTCAAAAGAACATGGTGATATAAATGATATTACATCCATGAATCCAGCATGTTGAATGAATAAACACATTGAGGGTGTTTTAACATCTGTTAAATATTAAGTCATTTTGGATTATGTCATTTCTTTGTTGGAGTTTTCTGTGATGTATTCTGCTTAGTAAGAGTTTGTCTGTCTGTCTGTCTGTGAAGGCAACCAGTCATGGACTATGCAATGGAAGATGGCGCATAAACTGTGTATGCCATGGGTAAAATAGGTGTATCATACCTTATCCTACATACTGAATACTGAATGCATCAAGTATTGTGTCAAAGTAGATTTATTTTGGTACCTTGAAACTTCACTCGTGGATTGATTTGTCACTGTGTGTTGGTTCTGAATGGAATAATGAAAAATCTCTTGAAAATGTATTGATAATGATATAAATGATGTCATAATCCACCAACGTAAGTTTAAATCTAATAAATATTTCCCCATTGACTCTGTAGAAACCATTGCAGTATTGCAGTCCTATGTTTCCCTAGAAATAAAAGAATTAATAATATGAATATGGTTGATATTTTTCATTTAGTTTTGATTACATTTTTACCTTCCCCTTGATTTCTAATGTAAGAACAAAGTTGTGTTGCCTTGAATGAATACATTCTAAGAGAAGCCTAAGTTTTGCAATGGATTTTTTTTCATATTTGATAGAAATTGAGAATGTGGAACTGCTATTGCTTTGTTTAGAAACGTTTATTGACCCATATCATGTAGTAGAATATGTGTATTTGGCAGAAATCTTACCTGTCAGTCGGTAATTTAATAACTGTCACAATGATTGATAGCCAAGAGTTGTATGAATTGTTAAGAATTAGATTTTTAGTCCTATATTTCCAGGAAATATGAAGATTTTTATTTTATACAATTGAGGTCTTATTTTGTGATAAAAGCCTTTAACAAGTGAACTAAGAGTATGAACATAGTTTTAGAATTAATTGGAAATTAACAGCATGGTATGGAGTACCTGAATGCAATTGGAAGAAGTTGACTGGATATTCATCAAAATGAGTTTGCCATCATTATAGAGTGCAGATAAGCTTGCTTCTTGTTCTAAAGCAAGTGTCATGTGTTGCTTCTACATACATGTATGTGCTTCTCTGTAACATTACAGCACAGTGATGGAAGTCTTCAGAATCTGCAGCTGATACCATGCAAGCTGCAGGGTGGGCTGATGGAGCCTGTCTGTACAAATGTATAAATTGTCATCACACTATTTGTGGAGTAATCAGGCTCATATATAGAAATAGTTTGATGTCATCAAGAAGCCTGTATTGAATTTTGCATAAAAATATTACAAATAAATATGATGTGAAGTTAATACTTGTGCTGCTTTTATTTATGAATTCAATCAATAAATTCTGATGGAGAAAATATAACGCATGTCATAGCAACCCAATCAGACGTGTCTGGTGACAGTAACATAGAGTTATGCCCCTTAATAGACAATAATGTTGGGTATGTGAGAGAATTACCAGAGTTATGAAACAATTTCCCAGACTGTAGAAACATGCCATTGCTAATTGATCTTTGCGAGATGCGTTCTTTCATTCTCAACACAACCTTTCAACATTGTATTAAGAACTAGATATTCTTTTGAAAAAATTATACCACTTTCCCATTTACTTCTGGATGGATTATCATCAATGTCTTGACGCCATTGTATGAACATTGTCTGTCTCAACAGTTTTTATGGCGCCTGTAATAAACAAGTACTGTGTCGCATCAGCTCTGAGTGATAAATATATGTGCTTCATGCCACATGTGGTGCTTGTAACGTCTCTACCAGCTGCTTCCAGTGACGTAAACAGCGTCTCCAATGTCGACAACATAATTGTTAATCAACGTGCTGGGTGTCATTGACATAACAAATCTATTTCTTACACCCGTACGAGCTTGTTAATGTGCCGCACTGTGTTTATTAAGGAACGTTTGAAGAGGCGATGTACTTGTTGATGTTTGTCGCGTTTCTACCAGTGACTCAACCTGCTGGATGACGTAAGACAAGTATCTTTTCCTCAAGCTGAATGACAACGCAGAAGTCAACGGGAAGTAAGAATAATAAGTTTTTATTCTTTGGCTACTTTTTAGCGGGCAGTGATGACACATGTTCCGATAACTTTTTTAAATAATGACGTGAATGTGCCACGAAAGACGATTAATATAATTTATTACGTCGATTCTGTTGGACTATTTTGATCCTCTTATTTATACATTATAACTTTTTTTTAAATTTTTACAGTATGGAAACATACCGAGTTCAGGGACGACGCTAGATATAATTTCCTATGACTTCTGTTTCATTTTAGCACCCAATCTCGGACGTTAGTGGCGAGCCTGCTATGACTCGCTTGTTGATTCAGAATGGGGAGAGTGTCAAATATTCACCTGACTGAAAACGGAATCGGCGACTCAGTTTATGAGTTCTTAGGAGCGATTGCTTGGATTAACACCATTTCTTAGCCAGTGGATGGGTTTCTATGAACAAGTGCCACATTCGCTGGTATCAATTGGAGTTTTGACAAGCCCCCCACGACGCCAAGCTGACACATATGTTACTTAACAGTATTGCAAAGCAATTCCAGGAATGTCGATGTCGTCTGGTGGTCACACGGGCCGTCACTCGTGCTTTAGTCAGTAATCTTCTTGGGAGATAAGTCCCAGTAATACCTGGTCTGACCTTTCGGCTCATTATCTGATCGGAATTTATGGCACCAGTGATTTTCTCCGGAACAAAATATATTCTTAATGTATATTTGTATGAATCTACCTTACGTCGAGGCAGGATAATTTCATTTTCCGTATCAATATCAAGACGATTTTTCATCTGTAGTGTGTCTTAGCTGAAGAGTTATTCACTTGGCGCTGGCCATTATCCATTATGTATCAAGTGAGAACATTTATTCGATTTTGTAGCCATGATGGGGCGTAATGTGGTTGAAGGGTCAGCCATCGTATATTAAGTGATCTTATTAGACGTTTTGTATTCTGGACATATTTGCTGACAGCGCGAACACAATCTGCACCAAATCACTTGACCACGACATTCCGTTCCACTCCAAACACGATCGGCTTCTTCCCCCGGAAATACTCTTCTTTACGATTATAGTGGAGGTTGGCCTGTTGATGCCGTGCAACATAAGAAATGAGTTTGTGTCTGAGTGAGTGAGTTTGATTTTACGCTACCTTTAGCAATATTCCAGCAATATCACGGCGGGGGACACCAGAAATGGGCTTCACACATTGTACCAATGTCGGGAATCGAACCCGGGTCTTCGGCGTGACGAGCAAACGCCTCAACCAGGAGGCTACCCGACCACCCTTTTGTGTCTGAGCCTGTTGACATGGTTTGAAAGTGTATGTTCCAACTGTACCCATGATGCTCTTTTCGAGATACCAAAACAATGCAGCTGTTTTGAACTATCTCCGCGAAACTATAATACGACGCCATGTGGGATGGTGCATTTCAGCAAGGAAGCAAAATAAACATTACACATCGCCTGGCCGACTTATAAACGCCAACCCTCGCATGTGTGGTTCATGATAGCAAATTTCACACCTTGTGAGTGAGTTTGATTTTACGCCGCTTTTAGCATTAGTCCAGCAATATCACGGCGGGGGACACCAGAAATGGGCTTCACACATTGTATCCATGATATTAGAACTAAATATACCCGACAAAGTAACCTTGTGAATTTTAAGCATTGGTTGCACGTAATTATATACCAGGGCCCCGTTCCACAAAGCCATCTTAGCGCTAAGGTGATCGTAACACCCATACTTGAACACTGCATGGCTTACGATAGTCGTAGTGCTAAGATCGCTTTGTGGGACGATGCTTGGTAAAGTTCACAAGGCATACTGATATTTGGAAATCTTCGGACATTTTATGAATGAAATAATGATTTGTTTTCTGGGTTTATAGCACATGAAACCAGCGACTCTGGCCTTAATCAATGAATACGAAAGCGCTCATAAAATATAATTAAAAAGAGAAACATCAAGTTAATGATTAATCCTGATATGAATAGATACCGTCACCGTCACAAGTTATTTAAGTAGGATTGCGGTTGTACGTGAAAGGCGTCAGTGAGTCGGGGTTAATGCCGTGGGGGTTATATCCTTCTGAATGTACTAAATTCGCACCAGAAGTCTCCAACAGTTATCCTGACATCAATGATTCGGTTATTAGTCAACATTTCAAAATGACCTGTGCCCCTTCTGTCACAATGAAAAGGAAACAATTACTCACTTGTAGAACTGTGATGTAATAAAAGAATTTGGGGATGAAGTGTCAGTGTGGCTAGACCAGTTTGTTTAAGCTTATAGTTTGACATTTGGGCACAATTTATATTTTTTAGGGTTAAAGAGAACATAATTATTTCACAGATAAAGCGTTCGGTTTAGATCTACTTCTACTTATATCTATAGATGCGAATTCCAAAACAAAACAAAAATAAAAGGAAGCTTTTTCGCAATACAGCATTGAAAAAGATATGGTTTTCAAAACGTTCTATTCTATGGAGCTTGGATGCGGTGTCCTAATCTTTTCGAAAACGAGCAGCAGCTTTCACTTAATTTAGTTTTCGACTTTAATGTTTGAGGCCATGTGATTTCCTACACGACAGCATATTTAAGCTTTACTAGATTATGCATATTGATGTATGCAGTGTATTTGTATTACCAGAGTCAATGTGTGAGTGAGAAGCAGGTTATTTTCTGTAAAGCATCTAAGAGGTACTGATAAATTGTTAAACATTCTTTTCATATCATGGCACTTCTGCTACCATGGGCGGAAGCCTGTTTTGTATAAGAGGTACTTCTTATGATAAACAACAAAAGAAACGAAAATCTCGTTAACCGTGACTTTATAAATTTACGGATTTTATGAATGGACTTGCTAAGCACCGCCGTGCTGTCTATTTTCTAAACGTATCAACCTGTCGGTCTGTTTGGTGCTCATCCTCATCGACTATGCGGCGAGTGCTGTTCCACCACTGACCGTCAACCATCGGCCACACCCATCCCATGCGTACGACAACTGACAATGTTTTCTTCGAATGCTTTTGTTTGTTTGTTTGTTTGTTGTTTAACGCCACACTCAGCAATATTACAGCTATATGACGGCGGTCTGTAAATAATCGAGTCTGGACCAGACAATCCAGTGATTGACAGCAAGAACATCGATCCACGCAATTGGGATCGATGACATGTATCAACCAAGTCAGCGAGCCTGACCACCCGATCCCGTTAGTCGCCTTTTACGGCAAGTATTGGTTGCTGAAGACCTATTCTACGCCGGAATCTTCACGGGTCTCTTCAAATGCATAAGATTGCATCATAAGATCGTTATATCTGTGTACTTTGTGAGCGTTGAATGCGTTACCGGTACTACACTTTGCTTTAGCGAGTCATTGACAGGAAATATTTCTATCTCCATAATTGTAACTTCTGTTCAAACAGAACCTGTACTTTATGTCAACAAATGTACATCGACTACAAAATACACCCTTTGAGCCAACGCCCGACGCTTGACAAGCTGAAGCTCACCGGGCGTCCTATTTCTAAATTTACCTCTTTAACTTGGGTTTATTCGGTTAGTTTTCTGGGTAGAACACGTTGATGTTGTTTTACCTACTCTTTAATAGCCTCTGGTCACGACCCCTTACATTCACCACCTCCCTCTTCCATACATAAATCCAGTTCATATCTTCTCAACCTCAACTTTACACCAACATCTCTGAAATGTTAAATTATGGCTATGAAATATAATAACATGGAGCCCAGAGACTTTTTCATTTTCAGACACTGCAGTAATCTAGACTTGCCAAATATTATAGACTTGCATGGGATGTGGTTGTTTCAGGGTCTGTATGACAGACTACCCCAACTTTACCTCATGCCCCAACTTTAACCTTGCCCCTTTCCAACCCCAAACCTCCAACCTTACTTAATCTTAATCTCCATGTTACCATCTGTGCATGGAAACTGCATGAGTTTTTGTTGTATTGCAGTTTCAGGGTCTGTATATATAATAACGTAAGGGTTTGTATGTATAATAACGTCAGGGTCTGTATGTATAATAACGTAAGGGTCTGTATATATAATAACGTCAGGGTCTGTATATATAATAACGTAAGGGTCTGTATATATAATAACGTCAGGGTCTGTGTATATTTTATAACGTCAGGGTCTGTACATATAATAACGTCAGGGTCTGTTTATATAATAACGTAAGGGTCTGTATATATAATGACGTAAGGGTCTGTGTATATATAATAACGTCAGGGTCTGTGTATATATAATAACGTCAGGGTCTGT